CTGCAGAATCGCAACGGCAGCTCACGAGCGGCTGAAAACGGCGGAAGAAAAAAGGTTTAGGGGAAGTATCGTGGAACCACCATGGAAGCAAACAAGAGAGATTGGAACAGCGCGGGCAAAAGTTCAAAATAGTCGCAGGTACGCCAGACTGATCAGGTCTGGCTTCACTGCCAATTGCAAGCGTCTTCGTTGGCAGGAGACTTGCAATGGCACTCCTGCCCCCTGCGACTTGAAAGTTGAGAAAAAACAGAAACTCTTAGTTACAGAGGTGGACACACACACTTATGGACTCGGGAAAAAGAGCGCTGGCGAGCGCGCGCAAGCGCGGAAAACACACCGCCAAGCCAGCGCAGCCAAAAGCACAGCGCCTTTCCCCCCACCGGTGTCTTTGGGACGCTATTAGGTGGAGGCCATCGCTAATAGGTTGGAGGCCATTACTAGTAACAAGAAACTACCAGTAACAAGTGCACTACTAGTAGCAAATAGCTACTAGTATAGCCTCTGGTTACTAGTAATGGCCTCCACCCTAGTAGCGATGGCCTCCACCTAGTGGCTTCGGTGTCTCCTCCCCGGTTTGGCCGCGCACGTGCGCATGTGAAGCGAGGCCTCGGAGGACATCAGCGCCTGTGAGCGCCTTTGAGCGCCTAGGCAGTTTTTTTGGCCTTCCTGGGCGGCCTGGGCGTGGTGTTTTGATGTTATATATATATATATATTTTTTTCAAGTGAATGAGCACGGCCGGCACGTTTTCGAGGACATTTCCACTTTTTCGTCGGGCCAAAAAAGACCTGCTAGATTCCAACATGCGAGAGTTGGAGCGAGAGTGGTTCACACAAGAGCGCCATGCACTAAGCACGCATCAAAGTGGGAGAAAGATGAGAAATACCAAGATCGAGATGAAACGTCTTTTGGGTCTTTATCACTTAAAAAGTGGTCTTCAAATGTCTTCAGCATCTTCTCTGTCTATCAGTCTATCACCTGATGGTCAGAGGTCCATGGTGATCCCGGGTGATCCACGAAACTGCTTGCTAGTGGATGGTCAACCGTGACCAGTGCAAGAAGTATGGTGAGTTGCTTTCTGGAAAGGTGGTTTCAACATGTTTCAAAAAAGTAAATGGACATGATATGTGAATATATACATATTATTAATACACATTGTTTATGTCGTTATTACTCTTAAAGTATACCTGGAAGGATTAACTTGATTGATGATAGATAAAGGATGCTACTGGTCAAAATAGCATGCTTTAGGTGGGTTGAAACGGTTGAAGCTTGATGCAGGTGCCTTGCCGAGCTCTTGGCAAACCATCCAGCCAGCAAAGTCCTTGGATGACATCGTTCGGCAGTTCTCCGAGCACTAAGATGGGAAAATTGCGACCTTAGCGTAGCTTCTGGAGGAGCGTCGGACGTTTTCTCTTCGTTTGGCACATTTTGGCGAGGAACAAACGCCCCATTGTTGGGACCCCCATGCAAGATTTCCAACCTCCGAAGTGATGGATCGTGTTGCCATGGCTGGGGGTAGCAGCCGCACATGAACCATGCCTCAACGAAGTCTCTCGAATCTTCTTTCATAGCATTTTTGTGATTCTGGGCTGAATGGCTGCGGTGGCTTTGATCCATACCCTCACTCACCATGCCTTTCTTCAGCAGTGTTAGCTGACTCCATTGAGCTGTGAAACTTGGTGGTGCGGACGGCTCGAGCCTGGAGCTGGGAGCCGCGTGGTGCGGAACGGGTGCGGACCAAATCCAAAGCTGCTTTGACACGGTCTGGAATCATCAGGAGCGAAACGGAGAAAGCAAGACATCCAACACGAAATCTAGAGCGTCGACATCCAGCAAGCAGCGTTTCGATGTATTTGGCAAGCAGCTATAGTCGGCGTGGCTTCGATCAGTTTCCGACATGCCAGAATAAGAGGGTGTTCCCGTCAAAGCTGCAGGTCTTGTTAAATCCGATGTTAATCAACGATGGAGATCTGGTCTATGTCTTTCTCACTGAAGACCAAAAGCAGGGGGCCGTCGCTCTAAACTCGTTCCAGGAAATCCACGCTCTCCTACTTGTCCAAACATTTTTGTTTCATCAAGCCACAAGATTGCGATTTTGTCTTGCTCTTTGAATCGGTCTTTCATGACTTCTGGTGACATTTCTCTTTGCATCCGCTATGGGTGACTGGGCGGAAGTCCTCGATCGCCTCCTCAAAGAAGTCCAGGCGATGGGGCGGGACGGGGTGGTGGGCCTGGGTAGTTACGCTTTGCAAATGATGATTGCTTTGTTGGGGGAATTGACGACAAGGGAGTATATGTATATATATATATAGCTATCGGCAGACTCCCTCCTAATTAAACAGACAAAGTGAGCGCTCTAAGTGCAAAGTTCCGAATAATGGATCTGCGATTTTCTGCCAGGACTTTTTGCCGGATTACGAATCTGAAAAGACATCTTAGTGAGTGGAGGGATTTCGCCATTAAGATTTGATTGTGCAATTCAATGAAGCATCACTTTGGCCAAGTTGGGTTCCAAGCAACTCCAAAAAGGATAGGCCCTCGCCCCGCCTGCCTGTGGGAAGGGTTCCAAAAACACCAGTGACGTGGTGATGGTGATCTTGATTCATCACGACGTCACATCTCCGCACATCACATGGCTGAACATTCTGGCCGAAACCCAGGAGGATGAGGCATGCCAGAAGCTCATCGAGGATCTGCTGTCCTACGCGATCTATGCCGTAGCAAAGAATGAGGCAGATATTCGAGACACCCTGCGAAACCGTATCAAGGCTGGAGCAAGGGCGGGGGTTGGGAGATGTGCTCTTTTCAGGATTCTGAAGGGTTAACAAACTTCAAAGGATAATCTTATGTGCGTTTGGTGAGCTGAAACTGTTTCGCGGGTCAACCTGTAGCTGTAACATGCCGACCAAGAAAAGGACCTTCAACAACCACCAACGGACAAGGGGTTCCATTTTGGGAGGCGAGTGGGCTGGTGCGGCCGCCAGGTACAAGCGTGGCCGCTGGATGAGAAAGGGGCGGTGGAGGTGGACCTCTTGTGGCCAGGTGCGGCACGGAAGTGTGGCCAGTGAGGGCGGTCCCACTCCATTTCGTTGGGGGGAACTGCCCGGTGGCCCGGTCCTTCATTTTGTTGAGGCGCTGGCTACAATTCAGTGGCCTGTGCTGGGAGCTTCGAGGTTCTGGCAGTGCTTGAGAAGAAAGGCCGGACTGTGTGACCCCGGACGGTGCTGTGTCGTTCCTCACAAACGAGTTTGTGACAGGCAGTTGGTCGTTCCGTGCAATGAACCAAGAAACAAGGAAACCCTGAACCTCTGGGTTGTTTTCCCTAGTAGACTAGTAGACATGGCTTTAGTCAGCTAGTTTTGGAGGTCCATGCAGGGCTAGTCTTCCAAAAAACTTGAGTTGATCAATCACTGCTCTACGCTAAGAGCAATCCCTCTACCATCTTGGTGCTGATGCTTCTTGATGATCGTCTGCCGCCTCAAGCACTCCTGGGAAGGGCCACCTGTTGCAAACATGTCTGGGAAACCATAAAGGTCCGTTTTAACAGACAGATAACCATATATAACCTGAAGTCAACGTGTTTGTCTTCGTCAACGTGTCTGTCTTTGTCAAACCATAACCTCTGAAGACCTTTGATGAAGACAGATTGGTGATTGGTCGCCCGGTACCCTCAAAGCACCGACATTCATTGGCTATTCAGGACTACTATGCCAGTCTCAACCTGTTTGCTTTGGTCCCTTTAAAGCATTCTATGGAGAATGGAGAAGCGTGATGACGGGTGGTTTTCTGGTCATGGCTGGAGGCCTTTTCAAGCTCAAGGACATCATGGGAGCCTCCGGGGGCGCGACCAGCGCGCTGCTGGCCTTGGCGGATCCACAGCAGAGTAGCCGGAGAGGGGGGGGAGAGTAGCCGAAGCACGTGAGGGGCTGTACATATTTGTGTGCATGTTGTGTGCGGACGCCTTTTAATGGGGGGTGAAGACCGGCTTCATGAGATGCCCAAGAGCGTCAGATGTGGCTTCGTGTCGACCCTTGGGGTTGAGAGATGAGACGGATGGACAACTGTAGAACTGCTGAACCAAACGCAGCTTGCAGGGACGACCGTGCCGACGCCCCTGCAGGACAATGCTCACCTTTTACATGGTCTATGCCAAGTGGGCTGCGGAAACGCCGCGATCCACCATGAGACAAATTTGGCAAACCACTCCCCTCTGGCGAGAGATTTATCGCTCCTGGTCGAACAGCAGGTTTGTGGATTGTGAGAGCTGTGCGGGCATTGGCAGGTCCTAGGAGTGACATCAAGAATTCAAGTCAGCGCAGCCAAGTCGTTCATGCCAGTCAAGTGCCCGCAAGTGGTGGCTTGAGGATTCCAACGCCATGTAGATTGGCGAAGAGTCTGTTGAATAGCTCATCCTGTGCTGGGATAGGCCACTATTCTCTATAAACTGCTGGACCCCTTCCATCGTACAATGGCTCACTGAAAGTTTCAACCAAGCCGAAGCTGTGAAACGCCTGAACCTGACCAGGCAAGCCTCAAAGACTGGCATCGACCTTCTTTTTTGAGATCGGATCGCCCTAGAAGGATGGTCGAACTAATCCTCAACGAAGGAGGGTGAATCAAAGAGAAACAGGTACCAATGCCAAGGTCCAACCAGGTACGCAAGGTGACGCTTTTTTTTTTGTTCTACTTTTTCGTCGTCCATGTGGCTCTGGGTGTCCTGTACAAGACAAAGTATGAAGAACTGAAGCTGCTCCGGTGCTTGGAGAGCCGCACTCTCCACCCAAAGAGGTCGGCCGAACGGGCAGTCGAGGACACGCCATCCAAGAGGACGAAGCATTTGAACGTGTGAAGAACCGTGGATATGTGGCACTGGCCTGTGGCAGAACTCTCTTTCAGTGGCAGAAGCTGAGCATACATGAGCAGAAGAATGAGCATACGGTGGAAATTCGTTAGATTGGATGGGGAGAAAGAACTTGGGTACTAACATTTCTTCGCATTGTGAATCTCACAATTAAATACCGCCCGTAAAGTTGAACATGTTGTGCTCCAAAAGTTTGGGTCCTTTGTCTGTGCAAAGTCGATGCGGCTGATCCCCAAATGTCTAAGAATCAGCCAGCAGAGCTTCTTAGGACAACAAAATGGACACCTTTTCCCAACACCGCTTGTGGCATGTTACATTTGTCTTGAAGGTCCCAAGCACAACCGGCCTTGAAAGAACTCGTCTCGACGACCACGTGCGAATTCAGCAGAATTCAGCACCACCCCCAAAAAAAGTGTGGGATTGTGAGATATTCTCAGGTGACTCTACTGCTATTTTACCGCGTTATGTCTGTTCCACGTTCCATTCAGCCAAGTTGCAAGCATTTTTCCGTTTGGGTAGCATATTCCTAACCCCCTTCACCAAGGCTTGTCGATTCTTTTGAGCAAAATGCCTGGTTGACCACGGAATTGGCCGTTGCACCGCGCGTTCCGTCCTGTTGCCGTTGCCTCGCGCACGCCCACTCAGTCAGGAACTGGGTACTTCACCACTTCTCGGATCGGGAGCAATGCATACAGGCCTATGAAGCCAGTGGTGAGGTGCGGATGTTCAGAACGTCTCCAGTAGCGTCCGATCGCTCCGTTCGTAGCGATGCCAGGAGCCACTATGCCGAATTCTTCCGAAGTGGGGGTTAGATGATTGAGATGACTAGCTGGCCTTATACAGATGCAAGGGCAGCCGCCACGGCGTCATCCTTCTTTTCAGCGACGGTTTTTGCAAGCTTTGCGTCAGGGAGGTTTGTTCTAGATTCCTTGTGGATCCAGATCTGAGTAGGTCTTAGTAGGTATCCACGATTCAGGTCTGTCTCCGCAGGATCCCACTCACAGCTCAAAAGAGATCATCCTGAAGATGTGTGCAACATCCCTCACATCCCAACATCTCCCCAATCCACCTGATTACACCTTCCCCCTTTTCAAAAGAACCACTCGGATCTTGTTTTCAAAGAGGCGTTTCTATGTCTCGTTTCGTTCGAACTGCTTCGAACTGCTGGATGTTTGTCGTCCGATTTTGGGTGCTTCGCTTTCCAGGCATCGCTGAGAGGTGCTTTGGCGGGCCGGGAGCTTCCGGGCTTGCAACGACTTGGCAAGTGCTGTGATGGAGGCGTGGTTGAGTGGGTGGTTTTTTGAAGGCACGAACATATGCGAACATGTCACCATACAGAATGAATCAGAATGATGGATTTGTCTTGAAATAAATATGGAAGCGCCCCCTCCCAGCCGGAAGAGTAAAGATAGACCAACACCAATTGCTGTTTTCTTTCCCCTGCTCGAATGCAAGGTGTGGAACACATGAGTGAGTCACTCGGATTTGTAGAACTCAGTCAGGGGCATGGCTGTCACTTCTTGGTCCACCAGGTCCATGGGCAATGGCCACTACGGCCAAAACTCGGTTGGCTCTGCCCCAGGGGATGAAGATCGAAGAGAACATCCCAAACCAGGGTGATCTATTTTTGGTTCTTGCACGGCTTTGAATCAAACAAGAAAGTATGGAGAGAGGGGGTCACACACATGTGCCCGCCGCACACACACACACACACAAGAACTTTTGTGCTCCAGCTTAGCGACTTCAGCCAACCTATACATCTCAAGGAACATACTGGAGCTTGCGGAGAAAGCCGGCCGCAGCACTAAGAAATGGCCTTTCGTGCGTGCATGCCTTTCTTCCAACATTATGCAATGCTGTGAAAGATTAGCCTGTCCATTCACTCTGGCAGTGCAGGTGGAATACTTCCATTCCCTGGCCGCGAGGGCAAAATTGTCTTCTATCATCACAGCTGCATGTCTGCAATGACGGCTTGGCAAAGACCTTTGTGGTTTCACTTGAGGACAGATGCCTCCGCAGTGGTTTCTAGCGAAGCCACAATGATCCACAATGTTTCAATTTGGAGGAGATGCCTTTTTGGCGTACACCTCAACCTTTTTTTGTCTAGAAACGATATCTACCATGATTCTATTCCAGACCTTCTTGATCAGGATGCAAGAAGTATAGGCCCTTTAAGGCTCAAACATCAGATCATTTCCTTCTGAAAGCCCTCGCTTCTTTCTGAAAGATTCACACATTTGCTTCACGATGCTTCACTCAAAATCTTTGCTTTCGGCGACCCATCAAATCCTGGTGCAAAACCGCATGGAAGATGTCGTCCGTCGTCTTCTCGGGGTTTCATGTCTGACTGACTCTTCGGCGACTGCACGGTAGAGAGCTGGTGCTGAGGCTTCTATGGCTCAGCACCTCACTGTACGTTGGAGAGCATTGAAGATCTGTTTCGGAAGGGTGTGGATGACACCATCCGCATGTTCTGCGATTCCTACGACCTCTGTAAGTTCAAGACCTTGCAGTACGGAGGCCCGAGGATTTGGGGGGACCTTTTTGTATGGTGCTGGTGCGTGTCGGAAAGCACTTGAAGTGGCACGAGATGCATCGAGTCAGGAGAAGATAGTGATACAATCAAGCATTTGTTTGGTCTAGGGGGTCACCTCCACCTTTTTTGGAATATACACATGTGCAGAACACGAAAGAAGAGCGTGTATGAATACGGCACCGAAGATGCTTCGCCAGCCCCGACTTCTTTTCCGTTTTTTTTCGGGGCCGGAGTGTTCCCCCCCAGGGATCGGCCCCTTCCTCTGAGCGGCACCGTTTCGTCCAGGCACCATGATGAGCTACAGCAAAGACATCTGCTGGGAAGGGAACAGCTCCAGCGGTTTGAGGGCCTCGGCTCGCTTTCTTCATGTTGAGAAGGATGAGGAGCAAGATGAGGTTCCATGAATTGCGAAGGCCTAAAGGGGCTGTGTCACCTGTTGCTGGGAACAGCTCGGCGACCAGAGAACATCTCATTCAGTTGTGGCATGGAACAGGTCGCAGGTGCCGACTTTTGAGAATAGTACTGTACAATTCTGAGTTTGGATAGGTTTTTGGGACACTGATTTTGTGGCACCCAAACAAGATCAAACAAGGACTGCCCAAGACCACTGTGGTCCTAGCCAGCAAGACTCATATTGAGGCATGGTTTAGGAGCAGCAGAGGAACACAATCTGTTTCAAGCCATTCCAATTCCATGGTCGTTGGCACGCTATTTGGAACCGTACCTGCGGTTGTTTGACCTCCATCACTGAGGCGCACTTGGAAGGAGTGGAGTGCATCACTCTGCGTCTTGAGGGCAAGCTGTTTGCAGAGGACGTGTGGCCCATCTGTCAGCCGTGGTTCATATGGAAGGCTCCAGGAGGTTTTTGCTGTTCCACACTCGTTTCTTTGTCCCAAAACGAGTGTGGGTTCCTCTTGGAGTTCGTAGGGTCTAGTGTTAGGTGAGGATGTACATTGAGAACTCTTTAATCTTATTGCCTATTGCATTCTCCAAGGCTCACAAACATTCACATGTAGCAGCCTCTCCCAGAATAGCTAGAACAGGGTGAGCATGGCATCCGAAAGCCTCCGGATTTGGTGAGTCCGAACTCTGTACTTCGGGTGACTGTCACGTGAGCGTCGTCCTTCTTGGAGACCCGGGCCTTGCGTCGTCCTTGCGAGGATGCCTTGCTGCGATGGGCGCGTGGATTGCTTCAGGTGCGACTGAGATCCGTCAAAGGTGGATGCCGTGCAAGTACAAAGTAGAGTACATCAACCACCTCTTGAGTCTTGTACCATTTGAACTTAAGGGTATGGCTTTGTTGTGCGAGACACACCTTTTATGGCTGGCCGACATTTGTGGTGCAAATAGGTTGGATCTACCGTTGTAATTGCCACAAACTTGAGAATCCAAGAAGAATCCTTTGTTTCCAGTGGGTAAGTTGTTGGTTGGAATGTTGCTCTTGAGAGCCAGACAGCAATACACTTTCATCACTTGAAGTGACCGGAACGCCGACATCGCGAGACTGGGTGTCTTCTTCAAGAAGACCTCAATGAGTGACTCATGAGTCTCATGAGTGACTTCGTAGAGAAGCACACCTGGAATCTTCCAAACATGTGTAGAAATTCACCCAACACTGTAGCACCATCTCGCTGCACTTTGGATTCGTTCAAAATCTCAGTGCCCACACACATCAAAACATCGACACATGAGCATGGCCACCCTTCATCTTTGCCGTTGTCCTCCCTTTTCCTCCTTTCGAGAGAGGCAGATCTGGAGGCCGCGAGCGCCGGGACGAAGCACGCAAGGACGAAACTATATCATGTCAGCTGTTGTTGAATGGTTCCTAAATGTTCCTAACAATGAAGCCATAACCAAAGCGGTGGAGCTGGGAGCACAGCTGGAGCACAGGTTTGCCTTGTATTGAGCTTGTGAGAGCCATGTGCATGGTGGTGCTTAGAGGACACGCTGGTGACAGAGGATCTTTTTCCGGGTGTGCCTACAGCCTCTAAGAATCATACACTCCTTGCAATAAAGATGGAGCCCAAGATGGACGTGGACAATGGCCCTAGTTCTTTTTTCACTTCCATGATTATTTCAATGAGTGTAGGCCGTCAGAAATACCTTAACCTTCGGGACGAAAGATGACTCGCGTTTGTGGCTGGCGACGATTTCGCCTTGACCTGCCCCGCGCGCCGCGTGTAACGAGGTCTGGCGGATCAAAGGTCTTCTACAGATCCAAGGTGTTGGATCCGTCGATCTGACGGGGGCGACCGGTTGGGGCGAAGATCCGCGAGTCGGTTTTTTTGAACGGAAAGGGACGACGATTCTTCCCAGAGTGACGTTCCGCAGCTTAGTAGGTTCCTAGCTCTTAGTGGCCTGCCTAGTAGCGATGGCCTCCAAGCTACTAGCAAGCATGCTACTAGTAGCTGTAGCTTTTCATGTTTTTTCTTCTGCAGCTCCTCATTTTCAAGAACTCCGCCGTGCTTTTTGTGGCATGTCAGGAAAAACATGCTGCTCAGGACTTTGGACCCCCTTTCTTCTTGATTCCTCCTGCCTGCGTCATGACCCATGGATCTTTTCACTCCGCAAGGCACGTATGGCCTTTTGGGAGGCGAAATCATCATTCGTTGGCCGCCTACGCCTACGATCCTGACGTCCTCAGTTCCTGTAGTGGTGTTCTTTTTCCGCCGCCGGCGGGGGGGGCGGCTTTCACCGATGCCCACCGGCCTTGTCCCGCGTTTGGTTCGGACCTTTGCTTCAGCGCCTTTGGTTTCGCGCTTGTACGAAGCAGGCAAAGGCGTAGGAGGAGGTCGATGTAGGAGACATGTTGAACTTCTGAGTGCGTCAGGTCGAGGGCTGATGCTTCTTCAAGGAGCTGGCGATCAGGTGGGATGGGCTTCTTGGATCTGAGGTTCCCTGCTCTTGGCCTGGCGGTGTAAGCTAAAACCAACATTGAAGAAGACACCAGCATCATGATATTTTTGTACCATCATGGTATTTTATGAATTTTGGTACTAAAATATATGACGATGACACGCAGTTTCTTCATGATTTATCAATCAGGCATCTCATGAGAAATGATATGTGTAGTGGATTATACTTATTTTTTTGGTATATAAAACAATTAATGCTTTGGTCATATCATAATTATGATTAGTTATGATGGTTGCTCTTTATCCTTTTCTAGGGTTTATTGGTAGTCAGGATCGACTTACTAAAAAGAGAATTGTAATCCTAGAGAACGAGAGCAGCCAAGTCATACCCTGCCCACCAACATTAAATTCATGAAAGTAAATAGCTGGTGGCAGACAGGCCATCAGCACGCCTCGCTCAGTGCCGCCCAAAGTCTATAAAGTCTACTATCTCTACCTCATCCCTGTCGCTGCCCAGCCTCGGCCCCTCCCATTTCCACACGAAAAAAATTGCTCCGCAAAGCGCCTCACTCAGTGCCAAGCTTTGCTTTATGACGCCGGTTCAAGTCAACCCCCAGGTCTACCCTCGACCCAATCTTTGGCCAGCTTTGTGTCCACGAACATTGGCACCGCCGCGCCATGGCGTATTTCCACAGGACACATCGCCCTGCAGAGTGTGTCGCTCACTGCCAAGCTTTGCTGCTTGACGCCGGGGTTCTTCAGTCTACCCTACCTGTCTACTTCCATCTCATCTGGACCAACTCACTTCCCAGTTCCACCAGGCCGTGTTTTCCGGGCCCAGCGGTGCCCAGTTCCACAGGCCGGGTTGGATGGTTGAAGCGCCGAAGAAAGAGTCTTCACGAGCGTATTGGCTCAGGAGCGTTCCCAACACCGCGTATTGGCTCTCTCTCTCTCTCAACCACTCCACTCGGATGGCGAGTTTGGACCATGGACTTGGAACAGAGTTCGATTTCAAGTCGAATTTACAAGCTTGGCAGTCTCTCTGTCAGGTTAGTCACCATACGTTGCTTCACATCCATGATCCTTGGGGAAGCAAGGTCAGCCAATGGCTTCTGACACTGCTCTCCAATGGCCTCACACCGTTCTGGCTACCCTACGCCCTTGTGCCTTACTCAGTGCCAAAGGTTGCTTTCTGACGCCGGTTGAAGTCTGCAAAGCCAATTACTGTAAAGTGTACTTCCATCTCCGTCACAAGCGTCCGTGGGTATTGGCTCTGCCACAGCGTTACCCAATGGGTAGCAGAATGTTAGGGCATCTGCTGCAAGGATGGTATGGAAGTTTTCCAGCTGGTCGGTCATGTGGCAATGCTGACCCGCAAAATCGGCTCGCACGGAATCAGCTTTGGGTCGAAAACCATGTTCCACAATGAATGCTTGAGATGATCTGAGATGAAGGGCAGCTTTCAGGAGTGAACCACTCAGAACCACCCAGAAGATGCATGAGAAAAGCCAGAAAGACAAGGTCGTTGGTCTTTTGGGCTTTACGCTTTGGGTGTTTTTGAGGGCTGTCACCTCGTTAACGTCCTTTCCTGTCACCCGGCCCGACCCGGCGTCGGGTCGCCCGACCCGGCGTGCAGGTGACGTTGGAGCCTTGGCCGGAGGCCGAGGTGAGATTCTTCCGATGGCGGAAGCCCCGGTGGAGAACAGGTTTTTCTGAGCATTGATGAATCGAATTGGACCGCCTGAGCATAGCATTTTTGGTTTGATCCGGAGTTCAACCCCGTGGGCTAGGTAGTTAGTTAGTTCGTTTGTTTGTTCGTTTGTTTGGGGATGAAGTCGGTCTGCCATGGCAGGTGTGTCTCAAGAAAATGGCTCTCAACTTTACCATTGAGAGCCGCAACTTTCCCCACGGTCTTATTCTCTCTCTCTCTCTATAATATATATATATATATATTGATTATATATATAATATATATATACATTAAATGTAGAATCTTGCTTGATTAAAACAACAAGTCGATTGATTAAAAAATATACAACATCTACTGTACAAAACCCTGATTTGGCAGGTCAAACTGCTTCACGCCCTGGAGGGTAGAAAAAGGACTGGTCTTCGTCCTTCTTCGTGCCCATCGATGGCAACCGTGGAGCAGCCTGCAACGCCAGGTGCACTTCGTGGTGTGTATCGGAGCCAAAGGAGCCCTTGGAGCGAAGGAGCAGTTGGAGGCCGGTGGGGCGGCCGAAGAAGGCGAACCCGTGGCACGGCAGGTGGCAGGTGGCACGGCAGGCACGTGCTTTCCGAAGTATGAGGCAGGTGATTTCTCTTGACTGCCACCAAGTGCAGCCAACCACGCTTGTAAGTGTAGCAGGACGGGTTCCCTGAAAAACACCGGTTCCATCTAGATTTCGAACAGATGGAGGCCCTTGGCGTCGGTGGTTCCGGGGATTTGACGGTCGATGATCTGGAGAGGTTGCTTTGGCTTCGTGTGCCACCGTGATGCCCTCGCTGCGTGGCTGAGTGGCTGAGCACCGCCCGTGTGGTGGGCCTGACCGCAGAAAAGGCCGCGAAGTCCACCCGTGTTGTGCTTGGGGGAAGGCGCACACCAGATGAATGCAGCCAAGAACGCGAGTCAGGGATTGAGAGTCAAGGATTCGGTCGAAGCAACTCGGTCCCTTGTTTTGGTCCCTTGAAGGTGAAGATGGACTTGGTTTTGCTTAGGAGGATTTTTGTTTTCCCCTGGGGAATATATGTTTGTTTTTCTTTTGTCACCCGTTCCTGAAGCAATTCCAAGTCGAACGCAGAGAATCGTTGTGGACACCTTGCAGCCAACACTCGGTCTTGATATCAACTTGGGGTTCACAACATCATTGGACAACCATCGGACATGCGGCAACTCGCTCTCATGAACAATGATTGGAGTGCGATTAAGCCATATAAGACATGCCCGGAAAACGTCCCTTCCATTCTCATCGGCTCGGCTTCGTATCCCAGACTTTCTTTTTCAAGTGCTCTCTTGGTCTCTTGTTTGCTGTTTGAGTGAATTCGGCAGAGCATCTCCATTGTCTAAAACTGCTCTCTTGTTGCACGACGTGACCCTGCTTCACCTCCAGCTTCTTGCTGCACTGCCGCGGCTCACAGCTGCTTTGTACAGAATTCGAGAGCGGCTCCTGCCGCCCCGGTCGCGGCGCTCCTCGCAGAAACCGCGTCGAAACCGGGTCGTCCTCCGCCGTCTGGCGTCTCAGCGAACGGTCGGAGGACTGGACGGACTGGGTTCCGGGGAAGGGCTGGCACTGGTTGGGGCACAGGAAAACAAGAACGTGCAACATGGTTGGCTTCATGGAGAATGCAGAAAGGTATGGAAAGGTGCTGAAGAATGGTGATGATGTTGAACATGCATGCCCAAGTCGAACGCAAAAGCGAAGCGCCAACCAAGGCTCCGGCGCTGCCATGTTCGGCGGCGGCCTCTTTGGCGGAGAGGGCCGGGGCCCAGGCGGAGAGGGCCGAGAGCGATCAATCGCTATGGAGCGATCAACGATGGCTTCTGGCCTCATGCAACAATCAGCAGATGCATTGTTAAAGGATCCATGCCGTGATTTTGTTGTGGTCTTCAAGATGAAACATACGCAGGCGACTCGGGGCTAGTGACTGGTGACTCGGATGTAGAAGGCTGCTTTTGGCTAGTCGGCACTGTTTTTGTGTGGGATGGCATGTTAGGACACTGATGGGAAGGGGTGTTCAATTTGGGACACGATGGGGTCGGGCCTTGTGGGTAGTGTTCCGGTACAAACACGTGGATGCAAGAGGAGTTCATGCATGTCGCCATTTTCGGTCAGCATTTTCAGAGCCACCGAAAGCCATCCAAATCAGACGTTCATGCTGGTGATCAATGTCATGATGAGTCATGTGTCCAAGGCACACAACCCCTTTCCTCTTTTGGACCAGTCAGCGTCGTCTTCGCGTCAGCGTCGTCTTCGCGTCCAGGTGGCTTCTTCGGAGGTGGCGTCCCAGGTGGGCGTGTCCGAGCGGAGCCTCCGTCTCTCTTCGGCCCCCCCCGCGGAGACGGTCCGACCGACGGGACGACGGTCCGACGGATCTGGTCAAAGCGAAAGGGATTTGAAGAAGCCACGGCTCGTGGCATTGGTTGGTGGTGCCGGGTCGACCCATCCGAACGGGGGGTGGTGACTGTTGCACCCAAAAGAGCCATCCAAACGGAGAACATCCGACTCCATGGAAGCAACGTGAAGCCGAAAAAAGCCACGTGAAGCCATTGCTGGTTGCTGCGGTTGAGGTTCTTGAAGCCATTTGAGTTGTTTTTCTCTGCGAGGCCGATTCGACCACCAGTATCAAGTCTTCCCAGTGACCTTCATGGGCAAAGAAGAGCTCGAGAAGGGAAATAAGCGGAGTCCTCAGTGCCGAGCAAGCCCCTTTTCTTGGAGGAAGATTGACCGGTAGCGCATCTTATGTTGCATCTGGTCCCACTTACCCATCAGCTTCCCCAGATCGCCTTTTCGGTTGGATCACATGAGACGTGGCCCGATGGTCCACGTGGTCTGCGGACCGTTGAAACGCGCGTCCCTGCGTCCCGGCGCGATGCGTCCAAGGATTATTTTGCCGCAATCTGCCTTGGACCACCTCGCCCGACTGAACATTTCCTGGCCCATGCTGTTTGAGGCGGAGTTGGGCTGGCTATTGCCGTCCTTTTGGGGAAGAAGAAGCGCAGCATGGTGATTCAACAGGCAGTTGTACTGCTAGTGCACTGAAAACAGTTCACATCGAAAACGACAATGCAGGTTCAAGGAGATGAACCTGTCATGAAGCCAAACAGATTTAGATTTTCATTTTTGCAGGTGCGGGTTTTCACTCCCCGAAACATCAGCAGCTTAGTGATCTCAGAGCTGAGATAGACTTGGATCTTGCAGGAGGCATCAGGCATCCTGCTTTAAACTCTTGACTCTTGACCTTTTGGCCGTGTTCATCTTGTTGATTCGGCGGTCCGTTCGTAACCGGTGTTGACCATCCGCGCAACGTAAGTCTGGTGGACCAGTGACATGCGCAGTCACCAAAGCCTGGTGACATGCGCTGGCAAACACCAGTTAGTCTTGCAGGACCAAGTGTTTGATTCTCACAAGTACCAAGTGTGTTATTTTGGTCACAAGAGATGTCTCGTCGACCTAATCTTGATGTGATCCAGTTTTTTGGCACCTAGGGCGGAGAAGCCTTCCATGCCATGCTTCAAGTCAGGTGGTTTCTGTTGGGCCGTCGGGTTGTGGTAGGAACAGAGCAGGGCCCAGGGATGCCCAAGGGGTTGAGAGGGTTGAGTGTCCTGCTTCCTTTTTGGGAACGTGGCCTTTTTGAGGAACGATGCCGCTGTTGGAAAAAAGGAATGCACGCCATGGCCGCCATAGCCTGTGACAGTTAAGGGTTGGCATTTCATCAGACGAGAGAGACCTTTCCCGAAGGTCCTTCTGATTTCGGGCTCTTAAATTCACCCACCGGACGCCCGTGCGTCTTCGCCTGTCAGCTTCCGGCCACCAGCCTTTGGCAGATGACGAATCCTACCACTTCAAGATCCACTCACGGTGGTGTCCAGGAATTCATCGCTTGGATGCCCAGTCTGCGTCCACGGTCGTGTGGGCCAGCACGCATCGAAACTAGGGACGAGCACCGGACTGTGTCGAGCACCGGGTGCCACATTGCTTGAGGACAGCATATGATTGTCTTGCTCTTGCACCGAAAAATGTGAAGAAAACCGTGAAACCCTCAACACCAAAGCCAAAGAGTCAAAACTTGGTACATGTAGTACTGTTCTGGACATTGGTTGCCAGGTATATATGTATATATCCCTTGTTGTTTACCAGGCAGAATACTTCTCCCTTTTAGGGACCTTTCACGGGCTTCCCTGTCTGAAAATCAAGTGACTGTTTAGGCGATTTCAAGCGAAGCGGGGCTTCTGTCGCCGCCCGCTTCAGCACTTAGGCTGAAGAGGGAACGTGCTTCCTCCCTTACTGGATGATGTTGTTGCCCCAGACTGACTGGGAAACGTTCGTACTCCAAACGTTCGATGCATTGGCAGAGAGTGTCTTGCGCAAAGAGAAGCCACGTGCCTTAAAGACGCCCATCGCATGTGTGTGTATATGGCTGGTTGCACTGGAGGATGGTACCCAGAATGCGAGAAGATTGTCATGTATCAGGTGGTGTACTTTTTTTTTTTTTTTAACACGCAATACACACCCACATCCACCACCCACCTGGCCGGTGAAGCTATCCTACCGTAGTGTCAGTGTTTTTTTTTTTTTTAAACCACGCCCCAGAGGGTGCTTCAGAACAAGCACAAAACGCCTTGGTTGTCGGATCGCGAAAAACAACGCTGGCCATCTCGTGATTGGAGGCAAAACCTTCTCCTGCAGGAAGGTGACCTGGTCCGAGTGTGGGGCTGAGAGAGGAGCTCGCCGGAGTTCTGGTCTGTTCCAGGCGACTCTTCGAGAGCTTTGAAGTCTTTTTTGGTGATTGCAGTTGTAGCACAAGTCAAGACATGCAATCTGATTCACATGTTCTCCTGTTGCCGAATGGCATGGCTGGCATCGCTCAGTGCCATCGGTTTGAGACTTTAGTTTCCAAGACTCGTCCCAGGTCTAGCAGGTCGGATAGACCAAGGGAAAAGTAAGTGGACGGATGTTGCCAATGGAGATGACCGCGTTGGACGGATGACCCCGTTGTAAAGGAAGAATCGACGGCTTTTGGTACACTCGATTGGACTCAACTCCATTGCTTGGGAAAAAGACCCCCCATGTTTTTTTTTTTTGACACACGCCCATTTGCACAGTGACACCAGGGCACCTTGGGATTGTCTGGTCTTATGCTTGCTGCTAGTTCTCACTCTACAAAGAAGCGGGTCCGAGCGGCACTGAGATCTGCAATACTTCATTGCCCAAAGGGAGCTTTGTGAAGCTTCAACCAGTGCATTCTGTACCGCCGGCAGCTTGTTATGGGGCTGAGCTTATTTGTCAAAGCAGCGGCAAACATGTCACATTGCCTATCACATTCAAAGCAGGCAGTCTGATTGATGAGAATTGCTTTGCCTCTTTCTTGTACAGTACTTTTTGCCGTGTTGATGCATCTATGCAGGATCTCTACGAATCTTTGGCTGTAATGTGAGCTGTTCTTGGTGCAGTGCACTGCACCAGAATGTAAACACGGACAGGCTGCCTCACACCCTCAGTTGGATGGCACGACTTCAACTCAAACAAGCCACACATCCACATGTCCGCACAACCATTCCCGCACAAAAATCCACATGCCGTGTCCGCTCGTGTGCACCCAAAAAGCCGCCAGAAGTCCTCGGACGCCAGGACTTCTTGGACATTCACAACCCCCGAGCAGTGCTGGAGAATTCGTTGAGGCGACTTCCGTCCTCCGTCCCCCTTCCTTTCGGGTCACCCCGTTCGCCGAACTCGGGCCGTTCAGAAGACCGGAAAGAAGGACCATCGGTCGAACCCGGAGATGGTCCGAAAACCACGCAGAATGACTTTTGACAGTCATGAAATGAGCCTCTAAGTTGGAGTCCTTTCTGCCTTTTTTCCTCGTTTTGGACAGGAGCTAGTACAGGAGCTGTTCTGGTCTTTGACACACCAAAAAGGTCCAGTGCTTCATGACCTCCGTCACCGAAAGATGTGACGCTGCAAGCCAGCGGCGTTTGGACGCTGCGGGGTCCAACATCAGGGAGTGTGATGTTGATGGTTGATGAATAAGACCCCTGAGAAGCGTGGAGATGTCAGATGTAAGACCGGAGGCGGGAGGTTGGATGAATAGACAGTCAACATTACTATGTGCACATGTATGCAAATGTTGTGTCGCCCTGGAAGAATGTATTTTGATGTATTCTGCATGACTCTCCATGGCATTGGGGGGCTTAATCTGGGTTTCCCTTGGCCTGCTTGGCGTTTGGCAGGAATTTCGCCACTTTGACAGTGGGCGATTGTATTGCTGGGCTCCCTACATGGCGAGCACGGACGCAGTTAAGGGGGTCGAAGGTGTTTCAGAATCCACTTAGATCGCCACCCAATAGATCGGTTCGTAAATTTCCTGGACCTGTTTTGAGCAAATTCACTGTGATTCCCTAAGGGTGGTGGACCTGACATGGCAGACATGGCTCAATAGTACGATCGATGAAAGAACGAGTGCGGAGCTGCCTCTTCAGCATTTGGCGAGAAGCACACCTCATACTACTACTTACCAGTGTGCGGCAGCTGGTAGGGGGGCGTCGCACCTGAGGTCATCGATTACAACCAACGGAAATATGAGATCGAGATTGTAGAGGTCTGGAGCTGCTGACAAACCGTTGATCGAGTTTCGATACCCTCGCTGACCATTAGACCGCTGAGTCGAGGGTGACGAGTGCGCATGGGTGAATGAAACGTTGACCTGTAAGGAGTCATCAAGTAGTGGCCAGAAGTACTCTCTGATCAGAGCTGCAGTGACCAACTGTGACCACAGCTGCGCATGGTGGGAATCCGACGCGCCTTCGTTCGCTCGCCAGTGCAAGCCTGCCAAAGCCATTTCCATCATCGAAGCGGACGTCAACGTGGATTTCGCACCACCCAAGGACTACAAGGTGCGGTTGGGGGGTTGATGCCGGAGCCGAGCGAACGTGAGGCCGAGGGCTGCCTTCCAACACCTTCGTTCGATGTACGTCCTCGTTGGATGTCTGAGTCTGAATGTATTTTTGTTCACAGATCTTATATGGGCTGTCGGTCATACACCTGGGCTTGGACGGTCTTTTCTCTGAACCGTTGCTGGACCGATGCTGGACGGAGCCATTTGGACCCCAAACAGCAGACCCGGACGCACCCATCTTCTTGAGATGTTGCTTCACCTCGACGACCCGCTGACCCGAACTCCGCACCCCACTTCGTCCGCTCCAACGGTGTGGACGTTGCAACAGTTGCATCGCACGGGAGGTTAGCACTCGCATCGCATCGCAAAAGAGGTACATGTACATGAACAAGCGACAACTAATGGATACAGGTTTGTCCACAAAACATAAACACCAAAGACAATAATTACTGAAAGCATCACCAAGATCGCAAGCAATGGTACAACAGGGATAGTTTCGAAAAGGCCCTGTCCGCCACAGGAGCCTGCTCCTCCAGCCGCCGCTGCGGTTGCCAGCACTCACCTCGACACCAAGGAGTTTCACGGATGCCATGCCAAGACATGCCGAACGTTCCTGGCAGTGGGAGAAAGTGGGAGATGCTAGACGTTTTCGCTTTTGAAGTGTTTGGGTCTTTCGGGTCTGCGATTCTTTCAAAAAGAAGGACCCCTATGCACCTTGTGGTCCCAGGTCCGCACCTGCTAGACTCTCGCAGAGCCTGTGATGATCTAAGTGTTTTTTGTCGAACATGGAACATCGGATTGTAGGACTCCTATGATGAACATCCGTCCACGAACATCCAGTGGCTTGGTGTATGGAGCTTGAAGACTTGGTTTTTGGTTCTGCTTCCTTCTCTCATTCAGCTGCTGGGAATTTCTTTTTCTCGCTCTCGCAGGAGGAAGAGGCAGATGCTGAGATGGAGGCCCGATCGACCTTGGCCAATGGAGTCGTAGCAGCTGTTTGCCGGAAGAAATGCCACAGGTTGGTGCGATGAATTCTGGAAGCAGCTGAAAGATGCTGAAAGCAGTGGTATATCTCTCTCTATGCATATATCATAATACAAATGTATGTATGTAATGTAGTGGCAATGTAATGTACTCTTATGTTATGCAATGTAATTCTATATTATATACACTACACATATATCTACATACATACACAGCTCAGGAAGCTGCCTATGCTTCTTGTTTGGCCCAACCACCCGCGGAAAGACGAGGTCAGCCTTCCCAATAGTCACTAGTCGCTATCTGGGGAAGCATCCGATTTTTGATGAATTGCTCAGGGTTCCTTCCATGTAGTCACCGTCCACGCGCTCGTTTAGCGCTGAACACGCTGAACGCGCCCGCGCTTGGTCAGGAAGGGCCCAAGCTCTTCGGCGGCAGTGGCCAACGCCCGGGGGCTACAGAGGTGGCTGGTGGAGAGGTTGGTGGGCGGGCCAGTGGGTGAAATTTGGTTCCAAACGTTTAGACTTCTGGATGTCTTCCATGACCAAAAAGCTATAATTGAACCTGATCATAGAACCCTTGGAAGACTGAAGCTGATCAACAGCGATGACACAAGATTAGGTCACTTCCACCAGCAGCACTTGTCCTAAAGCTCTAGGAACCACATGAATAGTGCGAGCGCTTCTTCAAGGAAGCTCTCCCCTGCCCAGAAGAAGCGGGGGGAGCTTTCTTGAAGAAGCGTGAGCTATCCTGCGTCCTACCTGAAAGCTAACTTAGCCCTTACTTAATTAAGTAGACGCCTACTTAATTATCTTAATTAAGTAGTAGGGGGACAGAGCGTCCTAAGAGAAAGCTTCCACCAGCAGCACATCTTCTGTTTGAAACGGCTGTTTCGGGCCCAACGGCGTCCTGAGGGGTCGACGGCAAGCCGATCAAGACGCCTTTGGCCTCGCCGGCCTCAGGTGGCCTCGTCGAGTCGGGCCACCGGTGGCCGATGAGGGTACCAAGCCCAATGCACTTGTTACTAGTTACTAGTAGCGATGCCAGGAGCCCCTAGTATCTTCTTTTTACATCTTTTTACTACTAGCGATGTACTTGTTACTAGTAGCGATGTGGAGTAAAGAATTGTTCTACTTCCAGCAGTTTCAACGGGGTGCCCTGGTCACATCCACTCACCGGATGGGACTAAACACCACACCGACATGTGACTCCTGGTTTGACCCATTTTTCTTCAAACAAGGTTCAAGATGTCACCTATTTTCACCTTTCCTCCATGTCGAACCTTGGAGGGGTTGGCAGTTTCTTCCTCAAGAAGGTGGTGTCTTTGGACTGAACGGTGGTGTTGCCATCGGTGCAATGCCATCAGTTTGAAGGTGGGACAACCAAACCCTTCCTAGCTGGACCGTTCGATCCGTGCAGCGCCAAACCCTGCTCATGGTTTGAACCGCCAATGGTGGCGGGCTTTTGTCCGTCTTGAGCCTCCATTTACGAGTAAACAAGCCCGTTCGGCAGGAGTTCCATTCCTGGGTTTGGTCGCACCATGTCGTCGGTGGGGACGGTCCGACGGCGCAGTCCCCGGGACCCTGCAAAGCTCAGCTCCTGCGCTTCTTCCGTCACGTGGCCACAGAGCTCTTCTTTTCTCTTCGGGATTCCGTTTGCTTTCTTTTGCGGAGTCGCCGCGCCTTAGAACCATTGTGGAGCTGAGTCAATATCTCGTCACGTGGCCACAGCTGAGTCGGTCGTCTGCCGCTGTGGGTTTGACCTGGGTTTTCCGGGTCGGAAGTTTTCACCGCAGGAAGCCACTGTTTCCGGTCGCGGTTTTGAAAGGGTCGAACGTTCGCAAGTGGCGACCAGCTCGCCGGAACGAGTGTCCGAGATGCGACGAGGGACAAGAATGAAGAACCTCTGGGAGTTGTGACCAATCTGCCTTTTGCCTTTGGGATTGGGCCAATTTTTGGAAATGCATCTTCCCATCCCCTCTGCTTAAGAACTCAGCCATCGCGTGACCAAGTTCGAGCCAGCTCGCCGTTTTCCTGACCAACCAGCCCGACCGTGGGAGGGCCTTCACCGTCACCACCAGACGAGGAGGTCTTGATGCCGTGGATCAAGAGAATACCAAAAGGCCGGTCGAAACACATGCGGCACTGGACGCGTCCGGATGCAAGCGTGTGGGTAGCCGGTGCATTGCGTCTCTCATGCGGGATTGGTGGTATGGATTAGTGCTACTGTGGGGATTGGTCTCGCCAGGCATCCCTAGGCCCCGAGAGTCCCAAGAGGAGAGAAATTGCTCTTCCGGACCTCCAAGATCTTCAAGATGGAGCTTCCTAGTGGTGGAGGGGGCCAGCGACCACCAAGATCCAAAGAAAGACACACTTTTGAAGACAACGGTCCATTCAGCTTGAGAAGCTCCAGTGTACAGCTCTGGCAGGTGTGAAGTGGACCTCGCCACCGTATGGCTATGGCGCAGGTCACATGACAGGCGCAAAGGCGGGGCGAGATGGGCTGGGAAGGCACGCGTGAAGGTTTGCGCTTATGAGACGAGGGGATCTGTGTGAAGCATAAATCTGTGGGGAGAACTTTCCTTAATTGGGAGATGCTGTGGGGGTGCAGATTTGGCTCTGTGTTTGGTTTCCGAAGCTCACAATCTCAACAATATTCAATATGATAAATCAATACACTATAATATGCCTGGTGATCCAGTGATGGCCGGAGCCCCTAGTAGCGTCCTTGCTCTAGTAGCGATGCCCTTTGTTCGTAGTAGCTTCTCGTTCCTAGTAGCGATGCCAGGAGCCCCTAGTAGCTTCTGGTTAATATTGCTCAATAACGGATTCTCTTGGATTGGATGCCGTTCCTAACGCAAGCAATTTTTGTCTTCCTCAGCCGTCGGGTCCATTCATGCGGGGGGTTCACTGGGGCGTGGCAGCAGTCTGGCCCGCTCGTCCGAACGCAGCGAACCTGGATGGGTGGTTTTTTAAATAGGTTTTTTCATTTTCCAGTTTTGATTGCCAATCTTCTGCCATGTTCTGCCCCGTAGATCTAGATATATCTCCAATTGGGTTCGGCTATCCAATGTGGGTCATTTCTGCAAAGGTCCGTTTTTTGGATTTGTCAGAGCTCATCCCAAGCGCGCGGCTTCGCGTTGACTAAACTCCATGTGAATTACCAGCATCTCTTGAGATGGGTCATAAACCATGAACTTCGGGCCCCTGCTGGTGCTTCCAGTGGTTTTAAGGGTCTTGCTTCAATAGTAATCGAATCTAGGTGGCCTTATTAATAAGTCTGAGAAAGAACTGCGGACTCACTACAGTATCCACAGTGTCTGTGGCGTCGCAGGTGGTGTACAGACGTTCTGTTAATCTACTGCAGTCATGCAAAAGCTTCGACAGACTCCACCCTCAAAAGGAACAAAGCAACCAATGCCAAGAAGTTGTGTTTCAGAGAGAGTTCTCGGCGTTATGCTGGTCAGACAGAGGGTTTGGCTTCAGCAAACTATAGAGAAAAGCACTTGGACAAGGGTTCGGGCCTGTGTCCTGTAGATATTCCTGGAGCCCAGGAGTAAAACTGAGTAACTCATCTGAATACCTGCGCTTTTTTGGAGTGTGCTGCCTGGTCACGTGTTGAGTCTCCGCCTCTGCCAGGGATGAGAATGAGATCATCCAAGCTCACCTGGACAGACTGAGAATGATAAACAAGAGCCTTAAGCAGTGCGATGAACAGGGATGAACAGAACCGACATTGAGGGCTGGAAAGCGGAGAACTGGGGGCTGTTTTTTGTGGGCCACTTGGAATGAGTGTGAATTCTTTGCTGGGAATCATGACCAGGCTTGAGTGGCAGATCTGCGCTCAGTATGCAGCCCATTGGAAAGACAGAGAGTCAGAGAGTAAGAGAGAGTGGTGTTCTCGGTTCTAAACAGGGCGACCCATGTTTTCGGAACGCCATCGCGTTCTGTAGAACGGCTCGTTCAGCTTTGGCTCTTTGGCGGAGCCAGAGCCCCACCCAAAGTTGAGATGCTGCAGACAGTCACCACTTTGAGTTGCTATTTGCTTCGTCTCACAGAGCACCCAGTAACAGGGCACTGATCACAATAGGTAGGTAGATTCGGACTCGCTGGGCCCCTTCCGTGGCATGGAGATGACCGGCCCTTCCCGGGCCCAGGCGAACGCCTAACCGTCGCTCGGAAACCGACGCGCCGTCCCGCGGCTTCGACGCGGGTGGTCACTGACGGGATCGTCACTCATCTGAGTGGTGAGTGTTGATCACTTGTAAGTCGGATGGATGGATGGAGGCGACATATGAGATGGATGGATGGAGATGGATGGATGGATGGATGGAGGGATGAATTGAGATGGATGGATGGAGGCGGATTGAGGCGACATATGAGTCACTCAATTATAGTCGAAACCTCCTGGTCACCGGACGGGCGAACGCCTCTGCACGTCCGATCGGTGATCGATGCGTCGCGGAGAGAGAAGGCATGGCGAGAAGGAGGGGCCGGCGTGGCGGCAGCCGAGTGGCGCGAACTCGTGGGCGCCATTCCTTAAAGGATGGGATTTTATGTGATTTGTTTGATTTGTGCTTTAAAAGTTAAGTTTCCCTAAACATCTATCGAACCAAATGAACAGTGCGAGCGGCCTGCCCTCAGGCGGCGGGGGGAGCTTCCTTGAAGAAGCGTGAGCTATCCTGCGTCCTGTCGGTAGTAGCTACTTGCAGGTAGTAGCTACCTCTTCTACTAGCTACCTATATATAGCTACTAGCGGCCAACCCCCCCCAACAAACAAAATAGCACAATTCTTCTTTGAAGTTACAAATAGCGATGGCCTCCGCCCTAGTAGCGATGGCCTCCAACCTACTAGCGATGACCTACCTCGCGGTATAGCTACTAGAGGACTCGTTGGCATTGTCCAGGTGGTTCGTTTTCAAGCATCCAATCGCACCCACCTGTAGGCATGCCGGTGAGAGTCTTTGGGTGCCGGTAGGGTGAGACTCTTCGGGTGCCGACCGGGTATCCCAGCATACAGAGGAAGAGACAGTATGTAGGAGCATCATGCACCATATGACAGGCACAAGCCCTCAGAGCCCTCATGCCTAACCTCCTCCCAAGACAAGGTACGGTCGGACGCATTATACAAGAACACAATCTTCTTTGGAATTATTAATAGCAATGGCCTCCAACCTAAACCTAATAATCTAAATTCAAAAAACGAGATCCTCTCCAAGACGACACTTCTGGCTCTGTGGGTGGCCTCTTTGTTTGACAAGTCACTGGCCTCACCACGAAAGACCTGTTCCCATAAGGGGTTTGACCGTCGTAAGGCGCTTCTTGCCGTTGAAAGAGCAAGGAAGAGGTGGCCAAGGACGGCTTTTTTTCCATCAGAGCCCTGAATCCAGAATGACTTACGGTGATTTTTCTGGGTCAGGGAGTCATGGACCATTGGTCCTGATTTGCTGGGTTGAGGGGACCTGTTAGTCTCAGTCTGGGTTTGTCTTTAGCTGCAGAAACGTCTTGTGTTTGGAGGTTGAACCGACAGGAAGAGCTCTTGGCTTGACCTCAGACATTGAACTCAGACATCGAGTTGCTTCCACTACTTGTTTCATCGTGTTTCCCGTCCTGGCGGCCCATGTTGCCACTGCCTGTGGCCAGATCCAGATGCGGCATGTTTCGCATGCAAGCTAGCATGGCTCACATGCCCAAGTTCACGTGGAAGCAGCTCCGGCCAACTCCTGATGCGGCCAAGGGTGTGCCCTGCGAACGAAGCTCGCATGGCCTCTCGTTCCTCCCCAGAGATGGGGGTGGATCCAGATTGATCCTCTATGGTGGCGAGAGGGTGGCCCGAACGCCCCTGGAGCCAGCGGAAGCCTTGTGGGCTGCTGAAGGCGACTCCGACTGGACTTGGAGGTGCTTAACTTGTGAAGGTCCTCCACCCCGCGTGGCCCATGCCCAGGCCTCAGTCGGTTCAGCAGTCTACATCTTTGGTGGGCGTTGTGGGACGGCCATGGAGGAACAGCCACTGAATGATTTGTGGGTCCTCGACTGCGATCGACCAGGGAAGGAAGCCTGGTCCAAAGTGCAGCTGGGTGCCGGAAGTGATGAGCCTCCAGAGCCTAGATCCTTTCACCGAATGATGGCCATTGGGACCAACCTCTATGTATTCGGCGGCTGTGGTGCTAGTGGTCGGCTGGCGGATCTGCACCAGTTCGACACTGTCAGGAGCACTTGGCATAACCTTGCAACATCCAAGTTGCGCGGCCGTGGTGGGCCAAATCTCGTTCATTTGGGCCAGTCCAATCGCCTTGCGGTGGTGGCTGGCTTCGCTGGCGAGGAAACCAACGACGGGCACGCCTATGACCTGAGCATGGGTGCCTGGGAGCAGTCCCTTCTTTCAGGACTGGCCGATCTTCGCCCACGCAGTGTGTCCGTAGCCATCTCCTTTCACAGTTTCAGCGCAGTTTTTGGAGGGGAAGTGAACCCATCCGATCTGGGACATGAAGGTGCTGGGGGATTCGAAAATGACGTGGCCCTACTTGACGATTCTGGCGCACTCATGGCCACCATTCCCGCTGATCATACGTGGCCGGAGCCCCGGGGCTGGAGCGATGGCACGAGGGCGAATGGAGATTTTCGCTTCTACATCTTTGGAGGGCTCACGGGAGATGACCAGAATCCTCGAAGACTTAATGACTTGTGGCAGTGTGACGTGGAATAGTTTCGACATGTTTCGATTATTTTTTTCGATATACTGTATTTCGAGGGGTGGTTTTAGTTTTTTTGGAGATCGAGCGATGGATTTTTTGTAGTTGTCATTCTCCTCCCCGGCGAACGCAGAACACGAAGAGACGGGGATGGTTGCGACCGACCTTCCGCCAAAGAATGCGGAGTGGAGACAACCGGAACATGCGGAACCTGCCATTCCCTTTTAAGGATGGCGGACGACAGCTTTGAGCCAACTGTTTATCATGTAAAATGCCAGTTTCATTGCAGAGGTGATTCTTACTGTTCTTTTCCGCATGTTTAAACTTCGGATTGCTGTCCTTGATCGGTTTGCTCGAAATTGTGGACCTCGCATTTGGGGCCAGGTTGAACCCATATATAGAATACATGCATCGTATATCCACACATATACACACGATATATGAGCTTCTGGTGCCAGGATGAGCGCTGCCGATGATTCTCCAAGCAACGCGGCACAACCAGCCGGATTGAGGAAAATAAGTTGCTTCTTGACCTGGTCCTTCATGACCTTTCTCAACGGATGGATGTAACTTCTTGAATTGAACTCTTCATTTCCTTGACATGTCGAGCGCTGCAAAGGTCTCCAGATGTCTCCGGCTTCGGATCTCCAGATGTCTCCATGATTCCCTTTTTGGGCTCAACAGATTGGCAGCCGAACAGTTTTCGTCAGAAAAGATGTGTTTCAACAACCCTTTGACATCGAACATTCGACATCGGTGACATCGCCTCAGACATGTGTTCGGTTGCATTCAAACAGTCATAAAACCAATTGTAAGACTTACACCATCGAAGAATAGAATCCCCTGGTTCCTTATGTGGTTTGCCCGAATTCCACTGGGAAAGACGAACCAGAACCATCCAAATGAACCGCGTTCCTTCGCCTCGTAGCGCGGTTTGGCTTTTGTCAACCATGAGCCGAGACGGAACATCATCGAACAGTGTCTATTCCGCATCTTCACCGCGCAAAACGGTGCAACATCGAATCTTTCGGTCTCCCGGCGCGATGTTTTCCCACCTTCGTCCGGTCGTCCGGTCGAAGGTCGAAGCCCGGCTGGGGCGAAGGGTTCCCTTCGCCGCCAAAAAATGGGGCTTCCGCCGTCGTCCCTACGCTTCCAACGCTGGCGTCGCCAAGTCGTCACCATACCCGCAGTTCCTGAGGGAGCCATGCCTAGGAGACGTGGAAAAGCCGATGTCAGCCTAGGAGTTGAGACGTGTCGTGCGACGCACCGTGCGACCTAGGGAATTGGCACTGGGAAGAACGAGGGGTTGGCCCGGAAAGAACGGGATTTGCCAAGAAGTCTCCAGGGCTAGGTGGAAGGTGTCGTGTGAAGAGACTTCTCAAGCAAGACACCTTGGAACACGTTGGAACTGGTTTTCGCGAAGCAGAAACCTCTGGACAAGCAAGCGCTTGAGTTTGTGTGAGTTTCCAGACACGGAGTGCCCCTTTTGATTTCTACTGTTGCTTTGGCACCTGGAGCAAAAATCCTCCATCGACAGTTGACAGTTTCGTTTCCATTACGTGCAGAAACCATTTCGACAGCACTTCCCAAAAGCCATTTCGACATTTTCGTGATGCAGTCCTTTGCAATCTTGAGCACTTCAAGTTCGGCTGGCATTCGGTGGCCTGCAGGGGCTCTCTCAGGGTCAACCACCGCGTGGGGAAACGTGCAGAACAGCGGTTCAACCACCGCGTGGGGGGCCCCACGCGCAGTTTCCGGCGACCCCGCCGAGCCGGACCTGGTCCACCTTTCGTTCAAAGTCTAGCTTTGAGCTCGACCTGTTGGAGGTCCAGTCGGTGGCGCGATGGAGGCAATGGAGGCGGTGCTGGAAAAGGAACGAGCGCGTAATAGGCGAATCTTGTGGAGAATGAGTTGTAGAGATCTCGCTTTGTGCAGACTGAGCGGAGCATATCATGTGCTACTGTAGTCATCTTAGGATTTCCATGGATTTTCATCTTATGTTCCAGAATGATAAAGTGTTTCTCAGCAGCCAACTTTCAGATTGCTACACCCACTCAGAAGAGTGCTCTGGAAACGAACTCGGCAAGTCAGCACATGCAGAAGGCATTTGAACGCCCTTTGTTGAAGGTGCTAGGACTGAACTCCCACTTACTTAGTGCGTTCGAACCTTGCCTTAAAACTCACGTTTCGAGCCGTACGTTCCCACGTTTTGGAGCTCAGATGCGTTTTTGGACTTTCCTCATGCATAAACAGAAGGCCATCGGACACAGAAACATCCCAAATGCATTGTCAAGAGCCAGAAAAACGCATCCAGCACCCCATAGCCCCATAGCTTGGACACAAACAATTCCCAAATACATTTCCAAGAGTGAGAGAAAAGCATCCAGCACCCCATAGTTTGGACACAGAAAAGTTCCAAATGCCTTTTCAAGGGCCAGAAAAAAGCATCCAGTAGCACCCCATAGGTTGAACACAAACAATTCCCAAATGCATGTCCATGAGCGAGAAAAGCATCCAGCAGCACCCCATAGTTCCTTTATTGAAAGACCCACGTGTTTCCGCAAAGTGCACCTCCAGAACGCACAGATGCATTTAGCCGAGGACAGTAAATGCATATATAGGTACGTATTTGGATGGGCCTGGATTTTGGGAGGGGGCTGTACGTTTTGGATTACACGTGCGGAACCTGACGTTTTACGTTTTGCGTGCCGGGGCGCCTAAGCCCACAACTATTGCCTGCAAACTGTAGCAATGCAGGCGCCAGGTAATCCTCTAATCCGTGAAGATCAACTGGCCATATTTTGGTCGCACATCCCACTCTTCATGGGTTTTATGTGTCTAAATCATGGACCTGGGCCTGTTGTTGACAGGGCCTGCCCCAGGACTATCGCCACAATCATCAACATTGTGACAACAAAGTCCTGATTTTGCCACAGTTGATGCTGGTCTTTTCTCATGCTGACATCGACCGATTCCGATTCCCTCGGCCGTTTGGGTTTCAGGGCGGAGTTTGGAAGTGCTTTGAACCACACAGCCAAAGCTTCGAACCACACTGGCGCAGAGGAGCACACGCTTCACTTGAGAGTCCACACTGGCCAGGTCAAGCTCCAATGGAACGCTCAGTCCGACTGCAAGTGCTACATATATAAACATGTCATGAGTCCTTACCGTCCGGCAACCGCCACACCACACCACCAATTCCGGGCTTACTTTCCGGGCGTTTGAGTTCGGAACATGGTGTCTCCGCACACCCATGCCAAGGCACGGGAGACTTCTCTCTTCTTGGCGCACGGTCTTCGTTCATTGATCGAAGTCTGTCGTCAACGGAATAGCTGTACCAGATAGATTCTGGTGAGCAAGTAGCGTCTACCAAGCTGTGGGCGTACCGATCGGTCCGGTGGGTTGGTCTTTTGATGCTTCTGAAGCGAAGAGGCAGGCTGTCAAACACAGCTACACGTTGAGGCGACATGAAGGAATTATGGAAGAACAGGTCAGTCTCTTGATTTTGTTCACTAGATCCATCAAGATGGTTGGTCATTGATGTCTAGCAGGAGCATCCTGTCTGGGTGTGGATGGTCCCCAGCCCACTTTGGGACCTCCGACAGACGGCGGCCGTCGCTCTTCTTTGCGACGCCCGGAGGCCTTGGCTTGCAAGGCCGCCAAGGCTGCCACGTCGGGCGGCACGGCGCAGGGGGCTTTTGCAATGAAGGAGTGGCCCGGCGAAGTGGAAGGGAGTTGGAGGGAGTGAACTGTGTTGTGTTGTGTGGTGTGGTGTGGTGTTGTGTTGTGTGTTGTGTTGTGTTGGTTGGTTGGTTGGTTGGTTTGATTTGTTTGTTTGTTTGTTGAACCGATTTTACACAATATAGAGACCTTGGATTGGGAGAGGAGAGGTTGAGATATATTATTGGGCGGGGCCAGGAGATGTTGGACCAACCATCGCGTTCTCAGTTTGACCTAAACTGTGTCAGCTATTCAACTGGGGCATCTTCTCGGATGTTTAGTGAGTTTGTTTTTGTTCCGAAAGGTCTCGGTTCTTTTTGTGCATGGTGTTTTCGGCTTTGCCTTCGCAATGATGACATTCCAAGAGTCAGGTTGGCCAAGCTGGCCGAGAGCTTTCAGCATGAAGAGCTCCAGGTCACTGTGGCTGAAATGACCTTGCAAGGCCTTCAGACCTGTGAACTGTCACTTGGCATCAAACACCGCCTTCCTCGTATGCGGAACCTTTGCGACGGATCTGCGGATCTTCGGATTTCGGAAAAGCTCAAACAATGCCACGAGAAACCATTCTTGAAGGCAAGCCATGGCAGTTGTTATATAGGTCTCCGTGAGCAAACCACACGAAAAACTCTCTTGTACTAGTAGCTTCTTGTTACTATAGTAGCGATGGCCTCCCTACTTGCGATGGCCTCCACCATGCGGTTTGGACGCTAAAAGCTTCTTCGAAGGATTCCAGGACTACTGCGAAAGCATCCCAAACCACAGGTCCGTTCCGTCCAGCGGTGCTCCCCCGTTTCGCTGCGGAGCTCCGTGGTTCGCCCTGCGGAGCGCCGACCGGTGGGAGTCTTCAGTCTCTGCCGCTCAGTCAGGCACGCCAAGACCTGCGTGAAGTCCCTGGTCGACGCCATCAGTCCTGAGAATACTCAGCTGGCACAAGATGCAGCACCTGGACTCTTCTGGCACCGCCAAGAAGTGAGATTGGGCTGAAGAACCCCTAAACCCATCTTCTTCAACACCTGCAGTCTGAGTGTGGCTTTTTCCGAAGATGGGTAGTCTTGTACCTGTTTTTGTAGCCAGGGTGAGTCATGTCCCATATTCATCAATGGGCTGTGAAACTCAGTGTAGTTACGCAATATGGCCACGGGGCCACCCTGATCTGAGAAGTCTGCGTCCTTTTGAATCTTACCTCGATAGATGCTTCTCATGAACATCCATCCATTCCTTCCATAGCTTTCTGCAAGGACTGTGGGAACTGCGGACTGTAGGTTTCCAGCAGGATCCAGCAGTCACTGGACAGAAGACTTGGAATGCCATGGGCACCAGATGACTTAGATGTCGATATACTTCGAAACTAGCATGACTTTCGATGAGAAGTCTCGACATCTCATGACATCTGGAAATATCTACATGTGCAGTAATATAGCTGATCACATGTCCCAAACATGCTATTGCCAAGGCCTGCATGTCAACTCCCCCTTCTGGGAAATGTGAACGGCTATACAGTAATGCTGTATTCGCCACCGAAAGTTCGAACACTCGGCAGCCCTGCCCGGGCGCCGTGCTGGGGGACGAAGTCGGACGCGGTGACCAAGGCTTGGGCTTTGTCTCAGCTGGGGCCCGAGAGGAGAGGAGAGGAGAGGCATTGTAAGAGTTTAGATTGATCGCAAATTCAGGTTGATCGCCTGGAACATGGTGCGTAGGAAAATGGTGCGCACGTAGGGTGTTTCAGTGTTCCAAGTGGGGAAGAGACCATGTGCTGAGAGCGTTGTTGTTTGTTTTCCTGCCACTTGGAAGTTGATCTGGAGACCTTCAATCCAATCTTCATCCTTCGTTGCAGGGTCGGGTGGCAGGCTTGGGTCAGCTCCACCTTGCTTCGTTTCAACTGCTTCAACTATAGAAGCGTGCAGTGCCAGGTCCAGGCCCACACTTCGCCTCGCGCGACACGGCAAGGGGGTTCACATGGGTGCTTGGCGGCCCACCCGGCTCGGCTCACGGTGGCACCGAGGCTCATGCAAAAGGTGGCTTCTGCTACCCGGTGGGCCTTGGAAGTGGGTGGCCTGCAGAGGGTCCAGGGATGCTTGCGCAGCGCCAGCCAGGGAGAGGAGAGCGATGGAGAGAGCTGCTTTTTGGGGATAGGGCACCAAAAGAACGGCCGGCTTGCACTCGTATGGGTATAGTACCTCATTGAGTAGAGAGTAGCAGTTGTGATTGTTGGTGTATGATCAACTCCAGTAAAATGAGCTCTTTGACTTATAGGGCTTGACCCGTTGGGAAGGAGGGGAAGGAAAAGCTCTTTAAAGTTTTACAGAGGAAAGCAACTTTTCAGAGAAGCATGTCATACCAGTGTGGTTTGGAGACATACTCTCCGATTCATTAACATGGAAGTGGAAGTCCACCTGCTTGTAGAGGAACACGGCCTTCCAGGGGCCTATGCCATCCACTTCCATTATTATTTCAGAGAGTGTAGTCTCGTTTATTCTGTTCTAATGTCAGGCATCGAGGAAAGACCTTCATGCCGGATGCTCTTTTTTCTCAGACATTTGTACAAGAATCTGCCAAGACCAACCGTGATGGTTCACCTTCAAAACATATCTTCCTCAGCCAGTTTTTGCTGCTTGCAGCAAGCAGTAAGCATGTCAAGTCTCTGTGAAGATCACTGCCAGTGGTTCAAGGTACTGAAAGGTGGAATGTCTCATAAGTTCTCATGGCCCCGCTGTCCCGATGCACCCAATCTAGTCAAAGCTATTCTTCACCATGATTCATGATTGCCTGGCTTTCTCGATTTGCATGAGAGGATGGTAAGCATTTTTGGCTAAGACGACGGGATGAATCCACTTCGCTAAATCGCTCACATGAACAGTTCATGTCCTGCCGCCCAATGACAATAGGTGAAGCACATCATGGAACATTCTGACTCCACTTGTCACGACCCCGACGTGTGTGGGGGTCGTGTCTCCTGGGTCGTTTCGTTTGGGAGGACTTGGATTCCTTCGCCTGGCTGGTGCACTACATGGGCGGCTTATCTTCGATCCTGGAGCTCCTGAAGGATGGCCCTTATAGCTGCATGGGTCTTTTGTGGTTAACAAACAGATAAGAACACCATGTGGTTTTGCGGAAGAGACCCGGTAGGATCTGGTAGAAGGAGAATAATCAATGTTGTTGTTTTTTTTTTTTTTTAACAACATCTGTCGCACTTTCTACAGGTCCATGGCAATGGAGGTCCGGTTCACGGCATGATGAGTTTCTTTGAGTTGTTTGAGCAAGAGTACTCATTGTTAACCCTCCAATTTCAACCCCCTCTTCCAGTTCCTGACATAGCAGCTAGACCGGAAGATCCATTTCCGGATGTGTCCGAAGCTCGGGAGAAAAGCACCTTCTTGTCTCTCCCCGCCCGGCACGGCACTCGGGGTTTTTGGGGGTGTTGACTCTCTGAAAGGAGCCACATCGAAACAGACGCACAAGCGCATGGCTGTGGAAACGTTGCAAGTCGGGGTTTCCCCTATGCCACACGTGGAGGAACGAAGTCGTGCGGGCACGGGCGACACCTGCGGTTCTCAGCTCGTGCGGCTCGCGATGGAAACAGCCCCAGGTGAATGGTCCAGTCGTGCGAAAACCACTTGGAAGTCGAAGCAAGTGAGTGAAACCATTCCATACTGGATGTTCTAAATCTTCCTGGTATATATTGCATCAATGTACCAGGACCTCCAACAGGTCACCAATTGAAACCTGTTAGAGCCTAACAACCCTCCATTTCGGAGACCTGTAGAGTTGGGTGCTGGTAAATTATGACCATGTTGTCTTGGTCAGGAGGTTCCGTCTTTGGTTCGACCTACCTGCAGGATCCTGCGGGCTCCTCGAACGTGGCAAGCCTTGTGGCTCGGACGCGATGACACACGGGTCTCCCATGAGCCTCGACCTGTGACCGAATGAGTTGCAACCTGAGCCCCCTTTCAGGTGGGCTCCATGATGAGAACCCGCCTCCTCGTTTTCGTGCCTCATCCTGACGCGTCCTCTGAGGTTTGGATGATCGCCGATCAACGCAGCTGGGTGGACCAACATGGCGAAGAGGCGCCTGAGGTGTCGGAGCTCTTGAAGTTGCTGGTGCAGCATTTGCTCTTCGCCTGGCAACGCCAAAACGAGGAGAGACTGAGATGGACCAAAAACGCCATGTGAGGTGGGTGCAGGGTTCCTGCACCCACCTCCTCGAACCGGCCATCTCTGCCTTCTCTCTGGTTTCTGGCGCCAGGAAGTGGTGCATGCGACGGTGACGGTCCTGGAGAAGATAGCCACTGAGCTCCCCAGTCGCCCGTTCCAAGCGCTTGGGACCGGTTCCAACAAGAATTAAGGATCGATGGAAGGCGGAATCATTTCCAAACATTTCCCAACAGAAATAGACTCATGATGAGATATGGTCAGTCTTGGGGTGCCAAGATGATGAATATGCCTACAGTCATCTTCAAGTCAAGAGATTCATCCATCTGCGACTGCAAACGATTGGGATCATTGCCGACCCACATTCCTTTTGGGCCACTTCTTTCTCCGGTCGCTCGTTTCGAAGCAGATCCACGATCCACTCACCAAGCCACACTGAGAGCTGGGCTCGTTTCGGCACTTCTTCGCTGCCGAGTTCGCATGAGTTCGCAGGTGTCGCCAGCCAACTCGCAGGACTGTCATGACTTGGGGCGACGATGTGTTGGACTCAACCTGGGCGGTCAATGACCTGACCTGTGTGTGGATGTTTTCGCTCATTCACTGCCCTTGATGCTTGGAATTTCTCACAAATATGTCTCATATTCAGAAAGAGAGCTGGGGCGCTGGCGCATCAAAGGAGGAATGATGGGACAACACGGATGTCTCAATTCCTACATGGCCGCCCTTGAGATTCGAAGCATGCCAAATCGATCAGGGGCCGAGCCACTTACTCAAAGACCATCATAGACCCCTTTGTTGGAAACCTTGGTCACCCATAGAGGACCTATAGAGCAGATGTCATTTCAAGAAGCCAGAGATTGTGTCGACCGCTGCAATTCAGACAAGCCAGCAACAGTTGTGGTCGGGAGCCTTCTTCAAAAAGGTTGTTGGGACATGTTGGGGCTGCCTTTAAGTTCATTGTCCACTGAGCACCCCTCTATGCACAAATCGCCCAAAGTCGTTTTCTTGTAGCACGAATTCACGGATTCCGACAAACTCATGGATGATTCTCTACTTGTGACGGGAGGAGAAAACTGTGGGTCTCTCTTTGCGGAGATCATGAAGGCGTCTGGGGGGTTAGACCACACGGAGTTGATGTGGGAGTTATTTTCATCGTTTCTTGGACTTTTGCCTCCGGTTCAACATGGTTGTTGAGATGGTAAACTGGTAAGTAAACATGTTCAACATTCCTCTTCAGAAGGATTGGAAACTCCAGATTAGGGCTGCGAGATTGAGGGACGATGAGGATTGAGAGATGAGGATCCGTGGGATCGCACCCAGTCGATCCGACGGAGCTAAGTGCTTTTGTGTGAAAAGTATGCAGACAACAAGACTCTTCAGACAGTTGTCAGCAAAGATTCTAGGCATAGCACACCCAGAATGGTCTTGTTCGCCGCAATCGGATCCAAGGAGCTGGCCGCAGACAGCAGCACTCGCTGCCGCAGCACCAGCGCCAAGTGCTGCCGTCTTTTGTCAAGCTTAGCCTCCTGCAGGCTTCTCGTTTGGCCCCGGGCACCCGGTTCTCGAACGATTGAGCTTCGGAACGTCGACTTTTTGATGACCTTTGTTGATGAAGAAGTGGTCTGTTTTTCCAGGTGTTGGGAAGAATCATAAGACGAAAGAGAGTCTTTTTTTTGGGCACATAAGACGAAAGTGGTTCTCTGATCCTGCCAACTTGTCAGGTGCAATGCGCCCAGCCTCCTTGGGAAAGGTGCAGCTGCGGATGCGGATGGTCACCCCCCCTGCCATCCTCTCCAAAACAAGGTGAAACAGTGCAAATGTCTAAGTCTAAGGTGTAGACCAACACGCTCAAGTGGTAACCATATACCAAACCTATACACTCTTCCCTTTTTGTGCCTTGGTTTGGCAAATACCAAATGGTTGGTACGCTTAGTAGTCATTCGTGTCTTTTTTGACTCGTCCGCGCCTGCCAACAGGATGTCGACCAAGTGGTCCTAGGTCCCCTCTCTGCCCATTCAACAAGGGTCCAAGTGTTTGATGTGGATACACCTTTCTCCACCCCAAACGGAAGAGTCATTCCCAGACCCTCCATGGGACTGGGATAGAAATCTATAGTTAAAACAAATATACATATATAGTTTATAATGTTACATGTGTGTATGATATATTGCCTGTATATATATAATATTGCCGTGCATGGACCCCAGGTCAACCTGATCGGTAGACCTGGCACTGCCGCGGCCAGGAGTTCAAGAAGCGATCCTCACTGCCGCGCAACACGAAGGTGCCCAGCGACGCGGTCGGAGTTGAGGGAGAAGAGGAGAAGACGAGAAGACGGCGGTGTAGCGGTCCGACGGTGTGGTGCGAAGACCGATGGATTCTCCGGAAACGAGTCCGCCAGTCGGAGAGGTCCGTCCACTTCTGGGCACCCAAGGCTCATGTTTTTGGCATATTTCGGAACCCAAACCTCTCATCATTCTTTTCTCTCCTCTCCTTATCCAGGTCACTCATCCAGGTCACTCTGTCAGGTCACTCTCTATCGTCCATTTGTCTTATAAATCAATCTCCTCTCCTTATCTCTCCTCTCCTGTCTCCATGTCAGACATGTCTGAACTCGGTCACTCGCACCATGGGCCCTACATGCGGAGCGGGTGTGGTCACCGAGACGGTCGCACCGTGGGCCCCGTCACCGGGTCTGCCATGTCACGTGCCAGGTCCCTTGGGCGAGGCGGCCTGTGGGGCTCTGCCGTTCATCTTGGAACATCAAGGCCTCGCCGAAGTCTTGCAGAGCTTGGCCGAAGCTGAGGCGCGGTGTCTCCGCGGTCCGTCTCCGCCATCCGTCCAACCGCGCTTGGAGAAAAAGCCGCGGGTAACTTGACGTGTGGACCGCGTGCGAGGTGAGCTGGTGGACGAGGTGAGGAGGTGTGCTCAAAGCGAGAAGAATGGGGACCTGAAATTCTGAGTGGTTCTGGCTGACCTCAAAAAAGGGTTCAACGGGCAGCTTGTTTTGCTAACGTTAAAGGGAAAAGCTTCCGGCTGGAGTGAACGAGTCTAGTTGCAAGAATGTCTCTGTGAAAAGCGGAGTGACAACACTGTACCATTCGTGGACCTAAAGATATTCTGGAAAGGCAGCAGAGATCGAGCGTGTCGTCTATCTTGCCTCCTTTTGCGTGTCGTGAGGTCTTGCGCCCAACCTCCCGACTTTTCAGAGCCGAAAGATGGCCAAGTCGATTTCCAGGGAAACACTCCACCTCGTCCCGCCCCGCCCCGTTAACGCGCCTGCCGCGTTCGTTCGCCTCCTTCGCCTCCAAGCTCCGCCCACCGCACCAGGTGCACCTGAGCTCGGCCCCGCGCCTGCGGCACTTCCTTGGAAGCTTGGTGTCGCTCTTCGACGACGGCCACGACTCCCTGGTGCGCTTCCGGCTGCGGTTGGGAAGGATGGGCGGAAGGGAAGCAGAGAGGTGGAACGGAAGCAGAGGTGGAAAGGCCCCCCCGGAAAAAGAGTCCAAGTGATGACTCATTTATACTAGTGGTGGACTAGTGGATGATGAGCTCCAGGTGGGCTAGTTCACGAGTCAAAAAGTTCTGGGAACAGCAAGGAATGCGGGTGCCAGCTTTCAGGTTCGGCAACGCTCCGGCTGTAGAGAAACTGATTGAGATCTATTGATCGGCATAAAGGGTCGCTGACATGACACTCATCCAGATTGACTCTTCCCAATCAACTACTTGTGGCAATTTCATGTAATTTCATGTAATTTCTAATCATTTTGCACCCGGTCCACAGAAAGAGGATGAAAAAGGAGTCCAGTCCATGTTATTTCGGTGCATGGGGCGAATGAGGCGCTCTGGTACCCTCCCTCGAAGAACCATGGTTAAGCGGAAAGATCATGGGCCCTGGAAAGATCATGGCATCGCCTACTACTTACAGGTTTTCCACTTCCCACTTTTGTAGGTCATGGGGGTACTGCGATACTTTCCAACAGTTGTTAGAGATGGTCATGACTGTGACTTATAAACACAGGGTGCTCCATGGGCCAATGGGTCAAGAATGGACAAATAGAACATCTGGTCTTTTGGGAATCTGGCGTTTGAGGCATACCCCGAGCACCTCAGAACATATATCATGAGTAATGTACCATTCTGTTCGTTTGATGTGGCGGTGGCTTTCCCCCATCTGCTGCCAGCTTGAAGCGATGCCGAAGCTCATGAGCCTCTTGCTTCATCTGCGTTCCCAGCTTCAACAGGCAGGCTCCGAGCTCAAGGGAGTGGACTCTGTTCTACTAGCGATGGCCTCCAAGCTTGTAGCGATGGTCTCCAAACGCGATGGCCTCCAAGCCAATATATTTATTAATGAAGATCATTAATGGAGATCTAGAGTTTACAGTTTACACCCTCGCAGAATTGCAGCATCAGTGATCATGCAGTGCATCCAGTTTCCCAACGGAACATCTGCGGCAACTTGCAGACCGGTGAGCTGGTGGCTAATTCCTACGTGAGTCCATGTTACTGGGGAAGAAGAACTCCACTAAGATAGTCATTGAGGGCAATGGTTTTCTCACGTTTTTTTTGTTTCCAATGTGTTGCTTGGTGCGTTTCTATGAAAGCTTGTGGAGTGTTGGTCGATGTTGGTCGCAAATCATCTCTTTTTCACATCCGCAACCAAACTCGACCCCCCAGTGGACGACTAATGTAAACTCTTGATTCATGACCCCCCTGGCATGAAAAGGATTTCCAATTCAAATGGTGTTTCGTTTAGGTCCCTGTTCATACACATTCGTAGTTTGGTGTAGTGTACAAAGTGACATCCTCTCACTGTTTCACCAATGACCAACATCCCACCCAAACCCGCTTCACCAGAGAGCAAGGGTTGGTGTGGGCGCGGAACCGCAAGTGCGCGCATTCAAATGTGGTGGGTTTTATTCCCCTAGTTGGGGACCCCCTAAAACTGCCGACCCGCCATGGTAGGGGGGCGCTTGGATTTTTCTCACCCAACGTCACCCATGTCAGCGAAGTTCCCATTGGATCAGGCTGGTCGACTCCAGCAATGCCAAGAGAACTGCTTTGAGGCGGGCATCGTTTTCTTTTGGTCCACTTACTGCATCAATCTTGAAACATCTTGAAAACGAAGCATTCCTTTTTTTAGGGGGTGATTGTTGACTCAGGATTGTTGACGTACTGACCTCTCGACAGTTCGTCAACAAGATCAAGACTCAACGGCTCTGAATACCTGGTAGGTGAGGGGGACTACTGAGGTCTGAAACTCTCATCCACGAGGTCTGAGTTTTTCTGTGCCAAACCGATCGGAAGCGACCCGGACGGTTCTACGGCATGTCTGCTTACTTCGCCTCGGCGCCCCAAAAACCCCTCGGCATACCTCGGCATGTCTCCTACGTTGTAGGATCTTTTGCGGGTCTTGGACAATCTGTAACCATCTGTAATCTAAAACTATGCCATTACATGCCATTATTATCACTTATCACCGGCTGTTGACACCATGAATAGCTTCCTGCTTGGTAAAGCAAGAACTCTTATAGACTCTATGACCATAATCCACTTCTCCCTCTCAACAGGACGCGTCAGTCACGCGCCGTCACGGGGAACTTTTCAGGCCCTGTGTAGCGCTGCTGGGGCTTTGGTGCCTTTAGTGGAACCCCAGAAGGTGGAGGCACAGCTGCAGCTGCCAGATGGAGGTTTAAAAGGATGGACATGTCATGCGTGGCAGAGTCGTCGAGCAGAGTCGTGGGACTGATGTGTGATTGTCTGACTGATGTGTGATTGGGGAGGGGTGGGTTTCCGGTCTTTTGGGATGGTGGGATCATTCACTACGAACATATAAAGCCAGCACGAGCTCGGCAAGCTGGGGGCTCGATGATCGGTTTTGAGATGGATTGGTGGGAGAGTGGCATGACCAGCTTTGGATTGCTTTGGGTTGTGGGTGCATTTCTCCTGCAGTTCCTGAAATTCCAGCATCTTCCAAAGCGACACTGGTCGAGACACCGGTTCAGCGGCTCCCGCCGCCCAACCGCCGAGCGCCTCGGGCCTTTCAGAAGCGCTATAAAAAGCACAGAGGAAGCCCTGGTGTTCGGTGTGTTCGGTGTTTGTGTTGTCTTTCTTCGCCTTTTTCGAACCCGATCCCATTCGCAGCCTTTGGACGCCTTCATCAATGTGCTGGTACAAGAACTTCAAGGGGTCGATCTTCCGGGAGGACACTCTTGGAGAGTGCCGGGAGGGTTCCGGGAGATGAACACCGCACGACGAAAGGAGAGTTTGTGTGGTTTGGCGGTCGTTTGGGATGGATTTATTTTGCATTTGGTTTTCAATTGCCAGCAGGTCAAGTGAAACATCATTGTCACTCATTACATTGGAAGTTGAAAGAGATTTGAATTTATTGCCTGGCCGGCTTCGAGTAAGGCGCTCAGCCTTGCTTTTGTATGCTTTTGTCAGGCTTGCTGGTTTTGAGGCCTGAAGTCCTCGTATCTGTAGCCGTCATGTACAACGTACAGCATTGGACTTTTGGTCTGGAGCTCTTCCCATCTTTTCCGGTCATGGGCCGGTCGTACAGCACTCTTCCGTCTGGCGATACCAGTAGCACTCGCACCGCCCCCGCAGCGAAGGCACCACGAAGGCTTCCCATCTTTTGGGACGCTATCCAGCCAGCCAACCCTGATCCCCCTGATCCCCCGTGATCCCCGTGATCCCCGAGTCCGACCTCCACGCTGATTCCCTGATGTCCGACGTCTCCGCAGGAGCGTCCATGGGCTTTGAGATGTTGGTGAACGAACTGGGCAAGGCGCGGAGACGTACGTCGCTCCACCGGGTTGGTGTGGTCTCCGTCCGAATGCCGATCTTCGGCGTGGTCTGGTCATGTCCCACAGCGCGGTCTGCGACGTTGAACTTCTGCCGGTGTGGAAAACTCCGGTGTCACAGGGTCTTGTCCATGTCATGTCCGTGTTGTGTTGGAGGGGGAGTCTCTTTTTGTGGTCGGACACTTTGATACAGTGCAATTAATCTCTTGCATGGTCTCGACAACAGCTTTAATCTTCATCTGGTGCTCTCAATTAATATCAAAGCCGGGGCCGAATAGAGGCTCGGCAACTCAAGGAGCCAAGCAATACCAACAACAACACAAAGACACACCAGAAATCACCAGAATACACTTCCGATGATATTCCTATAGTTTGTTTTTGTCCTTGTTTTTGTCGCTTCTTCTCATCCTTCCCATGCCAAGGTTTGCCATTCCCGAGCATGGCGTCAGCACCTTCGAGATTTGGGCGTGCCCAATTTGGTCATTGCGAGGCGCCGTGCGTCGGGCATCGGGTGCCGGGTTCGAACCCCACTGCATTGGGTTCGAGCACATCTTCAGAGTCTTTTCGCCGTTCGTTTTGGAGAACAAGAGAAGAACTCACCTCATAGAACATGAAGAACGGAGGCCCCTGCCTTCATCTTCCGGTCCGGTCCGCCTCGTGAGTTCAAACGGGCAGGATGAATCAAGCGCGCGACAACAAGCGGGCCATGAAGCACCTTGGATGCGGGGTTGATGGGTCGACTGATCTCCCAGTTCCGTCGGTTTGTGAGGCGTCGACAGATTCTGCCCTTCGTGCGTGAGCGCAGTCGTTTAAGCGGATGGTTGGCGGACGAAGATGTGAATTTCTGGAGGAGATTGGATGGTAAACGCGAGTGTTCAACCGCGTAGCTCTTGGCAAATACTGTGGTTGCAAATAGATGACGACGACCTCGAGAACGTTGAGGCATATTGAGGACACATCACAACGCACATGTTCATTTTTTTGTTATCGGCCAAAGGACCCAAGTAACTCACAATCTCAACACGATAATTTATAAAGTACATCTTTTCGTTTTTGTTTCTTGACAATTTGTGCACACATGACACTAGCCCATAATCCATCTTAGTGACACAACTGCAGAACCATTCCCAACGCCAGTCCTTCCGTCCATGTTGAAGTTTGTCATATATCAGGCTGCAGGTTTGAGCGATTTGCCGCACCCTTCTTCGAAACTTTGAGGTCTTTTATAGTCCAGCGACTGTAAATGAGAGAGGTGAACACATCAGTCAGTTTGTTTGCTTGTGGAGTCAAGAGTTTTTCTTTTAGGTTTTGATCACAGTCTCCATCTGGTAGTGGAGTTCACAACCCTGAGGTACTCCATTTGGCTGGCCTCCTCCTTGTTGGGTATGCCTTTCCTGGCACAGGAGTTTCGGCCTTTGGTTTTGCTGAGGGTTGGTCACAGGCCCAAAGGCAGAGTACATCGACTCTTTCAGTCTTTCGCGACATGTTGATCAATGTCAGAGATTGGGTGAAGATGTTGTTGCACTTCTTCTTCAGCGTCATGTTGAAATAGCCATGATGTGCATAGCCATGTGGTATTTATATAATATGTATTAAATTATATTTTCATCTATATATATAGTTATATCATCAATATTCTGTAGTATTTTCAGAGATTTGGCATGCCGCAGTGTTGATTAAGCACTCCAGTTGGACTAGATGCTCCCTCCACGCACGTTCGCAGGGAAAGACCACCCCGTGGTGTGAGTTGACCTCTTCAAGAGAAAGAAAGCGCTCAGCGTCAAGCGTCAGCGCTGCAGCGTCAGGAGCTACAGCAACACTTGGACTCCGAAACCACGGTGGACGCGTGCCTTTGCACCATGGTGGACATTTTGGATGAAGACGTGGAAGGCCTGGCAGATGTCGTGCGCAGATTTGTTGCGGAGACTTGTGTCGTGCCTTTGACACATGCGGTATGTTGAATGTGGATCATTATGCTTGTGGGCCCGGATAGACTGGATAGACCTGTTGAACAATGTTGAACAGTTGAACATTTGATTTCACCCAGTAGCGGAAACATACAGCTGCATGGATGGGCCATGTTTAATTTTCGGAGTAGGATTATTCCTGAGGCAAGAATGGACCTTCAAAAGGCCTGACAAACTGTCCAGTGCAAAGATTGTACGAACAAATCAATCAATCATCCACTGATACGATCGATCGATTAATCCATCAGTTCATCCATCACTCCATCAATCATCCTCTAAATCAAGCAATCAATTGTCAGCTGGATCTCAGTTGGTTCCATTCTTGGGTCCATGGCAGTACACTGACTTGACACCACATCGGTTTTTACTTCAAGACTCCAGGTGAGTGGTTCCTGCGACACCAACATGCTGAAATGCAGCAGCAGCTACAGGCCTTCCTTTGGAAGATTTTCAGCAGTTTTCTTGGGAGGGTAAGGAGGATATAGCTGAGTCATGGCAGAAAGGAACACTGTGCGAAGGGCTCTTGACTTCTGTTCCAGGATCGCTTGTTTGGAAGACTCCGTGTGCGACAACAAACAAGGAGAAGACCTTCCCTGAGAAACCACTAGTGAAAGGCACAAATCAACCCCCACTTTGGGGCATCTTTGGGCCATGTTTCTTTTCCCACTCCCTTGGGCCGGGCTTTTGTCCGTGTTTGAGCTCTCAACACACGTGACCTCGTCGAGAGCGCGGCAATTCCGACCCGCGATGGTGCCCCACGTGCGCCCTCAGTGGACCGAGGTCCGAGAACCGGATAGGAATGGAGTCCGACGTCTTCGTCGGTCTTCGGGTCATCCAAACGACGCATGTTTGACAGAGCATGTCTGTCAAGCCTTGGAGGATTTTTTATGGGTGTCATCGTGACTGAAAGCACCGGTGTCACGATAAGCCTTATAAGGCCTTTCTGAAAGGGCTGGTAGGAACATCTCCGAGCAAACAGGCTGGTCATCTGGCCGCCTGTTGAGGCCTGCGACCTTCAGCATCTCATGGATTTGATCTTGCAAGGCATGGAGCGTCACCAGGACTGCCACAAGCCAAGCAGCTGAAAAGAACAAGGAGCAGCTTCACGAACATCACCAACTAACTAGGCCTCCCTGAGCATCTCTCACAAAATACGGGCAAACGGTGCCTTCTTGGCGGACACCTGAGTAGGAAGAGGTCATGATGTTAAAAATGACGCCTGCTTTGAAGCCCCATTTTTCCGGGCCCCAGTGTTAATGACATAGTATTTGCTTTTGGCAAGCCTTTAGCAACGAGAACATGCAAAATGATTGTCCATCAAGCGAATCAGCAAGCCGAAAAGCAAAGGGTTGAGAGTTGAGAACCGAGTTGTTTCAAAGGGAAATGCAACAAAGCAATGGGACAGGGGTGAGAAGGAAAACCCGTTCCGTTGTAGACACGGGTGCAGGACGGCAATTGTGCAGCAACTCCATGACATGGGTATAGGGATTTCCAATAACCGGATCGGTTGACATCCCTTAGGGCCTCCATTGGTTCATTTATGGGATCGACCGGCCCGGAGCATCAGAGCCTACGCCCACGAAAAGCTTGGTCATACTTGGAAGGGAACACATCGATGCTGCCGCCAGATGCATATCATAATGGAAGATCCAACTGGATTTTGGGGGCATGTCAGAAAACTCGTTGCTTCAGTTGATTTGCTGCATTAGCTGCTAACAACGATTCGGCAGACCCGACCACTCGTCCCCTCGCGGACCGACCCGACCGTCGAGCGGACCAAGGCCGGCGACCGGCCCATGCCCAGTGGGACTTTGGGTCGTGGGTAACTTTGACCCCAAAAAGGATCGGTAACTTGAGGTAACGAAGCTGGGGACCGGCCGAAGCTTCGCACCATCGCCTTTTCAACGAGTATACCAGTATACCAGTTCGATGACTGACTGCGAAGCCAGGACGAGCCCTACGTCCAAGCAAGAGGACTGGCCGTCATTCTTGATGGGGGAGGTTTTCGATTTGTCCCTAACACTCCATGGGGCTGGCATATTTGCCCAGTAAAGAGGGTCACTGTAGGCAATCTATTCCAGTCACATTTGTCGTGCTTGGTGGAGCATGGGGTGCACTGCTGGTGGCGACTTCCCCAGCATGACGAACTGCATCTCATTGATGGGTCACAGATGCGTATGGATGGCCACACATTCTGAGAAACTATAGGTCCTCAAACGATTCTTGAGTCATTGAGGATACTTCCCTTCCTTTCCACATTTGATTCCAAGTTGTGTGCATTCCCAATCCCTTGGGCTCCAGTCGTACGATCTTCAGGTAAGAGGACCTGGCGCTTTCCCATTGCCATCCTCGGTTCGATCCAGCCTCTTTCGCTGACTCCCCCCCAGCTTCAGTTCGCTCGCTCGCTTCGTGTGAGCTCGCTTCTCGTCGCATGAACCGGGCCCGGCACATGAACATGGAGGAAATGAGTCCACTCATCCAGAGGAGACGGCCTCTGATCTTGTATGTTTTTCACTGTTTCTGGATGGCGGACAAAAACCGTTTTTCCATGTTTTTCCTTACTCCGAGATGATCGTTTTCGTTCGAGTTTTGACACTTCAGCCCTCTCACGGATCAGGCTGTCATTGCTTGGCCTTGGTCGTAACCGCACGTGACCAGATGAAGACGACCCGCCTCGACCTTCCACAGGCGAGCGGAGAAATGGACCGAGCTCCGGTTGGGGTGGTTGGAGGGACGAAGGTTGGTGCCAAGATGTGCCTGGCAGGTAGAATGACTTGGAGGCCAAGGTCGGTGCACTGGTGCATGGAACTAATTCTTTATCTTTTGATTTTCTGGGCCACATGAGGTCGTGGTGCCATCATGTGCCATAGCACCTCGACTTGAGGTGCCTATGCGGGGTGCTTCTGGGGCCTTGTGGGGTCCAGTGGTAAGGTGGTCGGGGCCGCACAATCCTTCACACATTGATGCATGTTGATCCCTTGAGAAGTTGCCGACCAAAGACTTCCCTGCCCCGAACAACGATGTTGGAACTGGACTTGATGCTTGACCATTCATCCGATTGATTTGGGGGGGAGCACCCTTCGAATTGACGGCGCCTTCCCCCCTTTTCACCCAATTTGAACCCGTTCGTAACTAGCTCTAGCTTCAGTGCCCTAGAGTCGCTTTGGTTGTTCGTGGCCGTGGCGATGCGACGGAGTTCCTCACACGACTTCACCCCAGTCCCGGGTCGACCGATCGGGGGCGAAGAACGATCCAATCCGCTCGACGTCGGGCGAGAAGGAGTTGCTGCTGCGTTTGGTGGTCATCACCGTGGAGGCCTTGCGCAAGGGACAGGTCGCCAGTGCTGTGCGTGGCCTGTCGCGATCATCGGTGACGGTGGGGTTCGGATGTGGAAAGACCTACAGTGCCAGGGTTTCAGGCAGCCGGGCCGGAGCGTTTGGTGTGAGTTGTAACAAAGGAACAGCTGCAAGTTGTGAAGCAGTTGGGAATGTATAGCATTGATTTCTATTTGGTTAGGCTGATAGTCTTCTGCCTCTTTTGCCTCCTGTCCTCCATGTCCTAAACAACGAAAGTCTTTGGACCTCCACTGACCTTCGTTTTGCATGTCGTGCACTGAGAAGCCTTGCCCTTCAGGTTTGTGAAGCCTGTCATCTTCGCGTCATCTTCGGCAGTTCCTCTCCTGTCAGCTAAGGAGATAGCGCTTTCCTGCTGCGCACGATGTTGGAGCCTTCCAATCCGTGGGGCGAGGCGCAGGAATCACCAGAATCACAGGAATGATCAGAGATTTTCGTGCAACCGTCTCACGGTGTTTTTTTTCCTCTTTCCCGCCGATTTCCCGCCAGTTGTTTTCTTTGCAGAGGCAATGTCTGGAACAGAAAGGAATGTAGCATTCCCTCCGTACGAGCAGCAATGGTTTCAGAACAACACAGCAGGAGCACTTAACATGCTTAATGTCAACATCTCACTACTAAACCCCCCCGATGAAACACAATTAGTTTCGTATTTTTTCGGGGTAGTCAAAACTCTCAACCGCAATAAATAAACCTCCAGGCCATTTGGCAGAGGGGATTCGGTAGAGGGTCTTTCATTTGCTTTCATTCTGATTTTAAACAAGATTCCACAAGAGAAGAAAAAGACAGAAGAAGAAGATAGGACAGATAGGACAACTTAAAAGTAAAAGGGTAAGCACAAGGCAAGGACAAGCCAGCCGGGCTGGAGGGGGGTTGATTATTGTAGGTTGGTTTATAATTGCAGGGGGTGGGAGTCTAAAGGGGACCCCTTTGAACATATTTTTTGTTTAGGCTCCGAGGTTTGCAGTGGTGCACAAGTCCAGCAATCGCTGATTGCCAGCTCGAATCTCAACCATGGTCTCCTGTGTGACAAAGATGGGGTAGGGCCCACAAATGAACCGCCCCCACCGTTAGCTCATGTGGCCTTTGGGCAAAAGACGAGGCAGGGCAAAATGAACCGACCTCCAAGGCCTGCCTAACAGGTTACTGCAGCCGTTTTGTGACCTGCTCGTTAGAGCATAGGCAGTTTAGAGCCATGGCTCCTTTGGTCTTGACTGAGAGGCGACATCATTTTGGACACCTTGACCTGCCAGACTCGGCCTTTGTGCCCTTCGCTCACAACCGAGACGAGAGCTATGATTGTATTGCACCTTGGAGAATGTGTGGCTTCCTCATGCTGCGCGACATGCTTGTATCCTGTGGGTTCCACCAAATCCCGCCCTGTGATGAAGCAGTCCGTGTCTTGCAAGGTCACCCTGAGCGCGAGATTTTTGTGTTCATTGGCCACCAAGCTGTGCAAAGATGGAATATTTTGTCTGAGGATCGTCATTTGAATGTTTTTGCTTTTGCTGTCTATGTTAGAGCCCACCTCCCAGTTGCGGGATTTGTGCTTGCCACCGCCGAGTTTCCGAATACAACCGTCCAGTTTCCGAATACGGTCCTGCCGGCAAGAGGAGAACACTGCAACCTCTGGCTGTGGCCCTGGTCTCCCTTGTTCCGGCCCTTTATGTCATGCATGCGATGGGATCCAGACATAAATGTCGTTTCGACCACACGCATGATCATATCATATCATTTACTGCTTGGCATCTTTATCAGCTCCAGCCTCGAGCAACAAAAACGCACAACTTCCAAGTGGTCGTTCCAGGCGGCACTGATCAATCAACAAACGCACAACTTCCAACTGGGGGGATGTCAAGAACATTCGGATGTTCGATGTCAATCCATTTTCTCCTGCGTTGGATCCAATTGTATCCGTAGTTACCTGCTTACGCGAGTTTCGACCTGTACAGTACTGCAATGCAAATAACATGGCTGCCATGGTGTTGCTGGGGGAAGTGAAGGAAACACAAGATGAACTGGTTATTGTGGCAGGGACAATTGTACCGCACCGCACCATTTGACTTTCCCAGAATACTTCCGTAGTGCCTCGTTGATTGCGCCACAATGTTCACATACAAAGACAACACAAGGGACGATTGAGATGCTCACATGCACATGCTCGGATACAGTTTAGGGATTCGGACGATTTGGTACGGATCGCACATGAAAAGATTGTTCACTTCCAACATGGGTTCCATATTGACGCCACTGATCGTTCAGCAACGAAAAGATCCATCGGACGATCGAGTGGTGGTTAAAGGAGAGCTGTTTTGCGGTGGATTCTCAGGATGGTCGCAAGCAATGACTTTCATTCAGGCCAACGTAATTGATACTAATTCTGTGCTGGCAGTCGACAACGACCCCCAAGCCGCAAAGACATTTGCCATCAATTATGGTGGGGGGGGAAGTCATTAGGAACCCCAAAGAGGCGGCCTATATGCGCAAGGTGCAGCTAAACGCTGACTCCTCCCATCAGACCTTTCAATGTGATGTCCGCTCTGGCTGGTGGTGTCAGTTCGTGCCCAAGTTAGACATCCGTTTATTATTAGGTGTGGATGCTATTTGGTTTGGAGGCCATAGCGCGACTGTATTTTCAGTCGGCTTTGTGTTTGGCGGCACTTGTTTGGGGGGAGGGACACATTGGAGAAACGGAGGGGATCATTTTGGATAACGCGGTCGTGTTTCCCACTGAAACTGTGGCAGGAACACATGCATTTTGTTTACCATATTGAGTTGCTCATGGGTTACTAAAATGCAGGGATTGCAGCTTTGTAGACCTTTGCGCCAGAGGATGAAGAAGACCAGGCCACGCTCCTGATTAGAGAAATTCGACAGAATTACCTCACCTGGCTGGAGAATGCTCCTACCCCCGATGTTTTGCAAGACATCAAGGAGGACATGACAGGCCAGGTGTTGGGTAAAATAGTCGACGATGACTACCTGTCAAAATGGTCAGCAGCTTTGCCCAAGGGGAAGGGTTTAGGGTTTAGGGTTTAGGATGCGCGGCCAGAGCGAGGCCGGACCTGTGCGAAAGCGTCTCGGACCAGGAAATGGGCTTTGGCCGAAATCCCTTCGTGTTCAAGGTCGGATCGGGATAGCGCAGCTTTGCCTTTACGCGGTCCCTCCTAGCACAGAATTGCCGTTGTTGTTGTTGTTGTTGGTAGAGACAAAAACAGCCGCCCAACATAGTTGTCACATGTTGCAAGTCAGGCATTTCAATGGGATTCTGTTAGGGATAGGGTCGAAGGTTTGGAGAATGTTAGTAGCTGGACTTCTTGTTGTTGTGGTACTCAAGTCTTGGTTGGTCTGCTTCTTGTTTTTTGTTGTGTTGTCTTGGGGGGGGGTCAAAAAACAACAACGGGGTTGCAGATTTTGTTTCTAGGGGGGGGTAGAGACAACAACATCTTTTGGAAGGGGGGGGTCCAAAAAACAACCACGGGGTTGCAGTTTTTGTTTCTAGGATGTGGTAGAGGTTCTAAGTAGAAGTTTTACAGGGTTTACTTAACCAGTTACAATAAGCATCACCAGTAGCATGACCCTCAGAGGAGTTTCATAGACCGTAAGAAGGCGATTAAATCGACCATATTGTTCCATTGGAATCCAAAAACTTCCAGGAGTCTCCAAGAAAAGATTGATTTTCAGTGCATAGATTGAGAACCGGGTTTCCACCCCCTCCGCATCCGCACACGCCCCGCGCACTGTCCACGCGTCCCGGGATGGGGGGTGTCTACCACTAGTAGTAGTAGCAGCACTAGTACCACTAGTAGTAGTAGCAGTAAAGTGCTTGTTGTCTGGTTGTTTTGGGGGGGGGGTCAAAAAACAACGACGGGGTTGCAGAATTTGTTTCTACCCCCTTGTAGAGAAAAAGAAAGAAGATGTGGTGTAACGGGGTTGCAGTTTTTGTTTGTACCTTGTTGTTGTTGTTGTTGTTGTTGTTGTTGGAGCCCAATCAAGCCTACTTTCACGGACAACTGTACAATGACCAGGACCAACAAATCAGACCTGGTTGTGTGGTCCACCACAAAGACCACAACAAGACCATGTTGGGAAGCTGGAGCCCAGAAATCAGCAGTCCCATTCTTTTTACGTTGCCAAGGGACTTGCAGTTGCTGTCAGTTTGTTTAGTTGCTCCAAACCAGAATTATTGGGGGCAATCATTTTTGTGATGGATATGAGGTACTGTCGTTACCTAAAAAGACGTCATCCTCCTGAGGCCAAAGGCAATTAAGTGCCATGCATGATGTGTGTGACACCTCGGAGACCAGTGCTAAACCAATCACGGACTGACGCGAGCTGGTCCCCGCCCTGCAGCTTAACTCCTGCGCCCAGGACCTTCGGGAGGGGGGGGGGGGGGGGGTCAGGTTAGATCGTTCAAAAATCCGCCCGGGGGAGCACTAAAACAGACAAGACATAGCTTAACAAAGAACTAACAAAAAACCAACTACCCAAAACACGCCGTGCCCAAGGGCCGGCGGATTTGTTTGATAGAGTTTGAATAAGGAAACCTAAAGCTTTTGGCTAGCCAATGTATTTGGAAATCTGATGGGCAACGATTAAAAATAAAGATTCCACAAACGAAGAAAAAGAACGAAGCAAAAGAAGACAGGAGAACTTAAAAGCAAAAGGGAAAGCGCAAGGCAAGGATAAGCCAGCAGGGCTGGAGCAGATAGGCAACATACAAAAGAATCTTGGCTACAAACATGGCGTAATTAACAGATATTAAACGTAGTATTGCAAAATCCTGGCAGGCCAAAAAGCTGATTACTATTGTTTGAGGTTTAGATTTAGAATTGATATATCTATATATTTTAAAAAATCCATTTGGGGTCTGGATGTTGGTGCAATTAAAAGTAGTATTGCAAAATTCTGGCAGGCCAAAAAACTGATTATTATATATTTATTGTCTCATGGTTCATTACTGGGATGTTAGCATTATTACAGCCCCAACACCAAACAAGCCAGGCGGCTCCGAGTGGTCCACATTGTTGGGGAGTGTGTTTTTCTTTTGTATATAGTGCTGTCCATTGACATGCAATGCTTCATTTTGCGATTGCACAAACTGTCAGGGAGAGGCAGCCGCAAAACTTCGGGAGGATTGGCCGGCCTGTTGCGGGGAGGGATGAGGATGCGGCGGGAATGTGGGCAGGACATGATACACCGGCATCCTGAAAATAGAGCTAACATTCGGATCAAGCAGAACGTCTCCATCATATTATCACCAGTTTTTTAAATTGATCCCACATACTGAAACCATACTCAAGTCTTGGTCTTTGCTGTAACAGTCACCTAGTTGAAGTCTCGGCCAACGGGACTCGCCCAAATTTGGACGCAGGAACACGCGCGGCAGCTGCTTGCTCAGGAGCTTCGTGCCAGAGGCGTTTCTGTTTTTTTCCAGATGGAGGCCATGGCTATTAGGTTGGAGGCCATTCCTACTAGTAACAAAAAACTACTAGTGAACACAGTGACATGGTGCGAAGGTGACGCAGGGACAAGCTGCTGGGTTCCCAGCCCCCCTTTTTCACCTCTTCGGGAAAAACGGGTTCAGACCATACAGCAAAACATCGACGGTTTTGCGATGTGTTGGGGTTTCGAAGACAGACACCGTGTTTATCTAGGGGTTGTGGGGTTGTTGGGTTGGCTGATCTTGCCTTCGTCCTCTTTTCCGGATCTCTCGGCTACGAAGACGCCGAGCCTTCGAAGGCGTGCAAGAAGTGCTTCTGGCGCAGCTCCACAGCTATGCGTACATGACGACTGACAGGACGAGAGTGGGAGACCGATCAGACTGGATGGGTTTACTACTCGTTTTTTGAGGCCGACGGATTGGGGGTCCGACAATCACTCTTGCTCCAGTAGACCGTACTAAAACCTATATAGCTTTGGTTTCAATTGCTTGCTCAGCACGGGTCCCATGCACAGAGTGACCAGTTACCAGTGACCAGCGCACAAGTCGTTGCAGTTTAGCTGAAGAATCACGGTTTCATACAGCTTCCAAAGAGTACGTTTGCTACGAGGTTTAGAGGGTCATGAAAAGAGCTCCAAGACTAGAGCCACCACTACCAAATGATATGCATTGATAATGTTTGAGATAATAATAGCTAAATATATATATATATATATATGTATACAATATTCCCCTGCCAATTTCCACTACAAAATCGATGGTGACACCATCACAAAACAAACAGTTTTTCTGAAGAATGATCTGCCTATGTTGGAGGTGACATGTCAGAGAGTCTGATTTTATAGAGAACACAGGAAATTACGAGCCTCGATACTATAGAGGATTTTTGGTCATGAACACATGTCTTGGCAAGCTAAAGAAATTTGATTTTATAGTGAAGCCATGATGGAATTTTACATGTCACGGGTCTCAATTCTATATAGTTTCATAGATTTTCTATTTGCAGATGGTTGCTGATATGCGTGTTCTATAAAATATGTAAAGGTGACTTTGGCCAATAATCATGTCGAAATACTATAGAGTTGTGGTAGCTTTCATGCAGGAATAGGTTGCTAGAGGTCCTGTTTCCAACGTAGTCAGATTTTGCAAGCCAAAGCCTGCTATTCTAGAGGCCCTACTACCCAATACTTGAAAAGCAAACTGTTCGAAAACACCTCTGCCCTACGATTCTATAGAGTTTGTACTTGAAATGTCTACTTATTTTCCATGTCCCCAACCCAATTCTATGGAGCTGGCCATGATTTTCTGTCTCACAATCCCCAATTCTATAGAGCTCAAAATGCAGCCTCTCATTTTGGATGTCATATGCAGTGTTTTATAACTGTAAATCGGTATACCCACCCACTTAATTCGAAGGGGATTGTGTAGGTTTCGGGGATAATATGGTTTGTGTTTTTCGTATTCTGGGTCGAATTTGCTCCTGGAATTCCTGGTTCTCAAAAAAGGGCTTCACCACGTGATGCCGAACTCCCGAACTCGGCGACCGGCGACCCGATCTGCCCAATCTGCCCGATCCTCTGCGCCGCGAACCACGCGTGGCAGCGAAGCTAGGCATACGGAGCTGCTGGAAGGCCTTCTGGCCTGCTTGGTGTGGAACCCGAGAGGCTTGTGTGGGTGAAGTGAATTAGAAGTGATGTAGTATTTGTATGTTGTGCGACCATGGCTCAAAAATGGGATATCCCAAAGCAAGGTGAAAAGGAGAAGTTTAAGTATAGACAAGTGCCTGCGGTACCCGTGCATCCCTGGCCTTTTGAGCCACATCCATAGTGAGAGCAATTTTCTTTGAAAGCAGGCAGAGTAAGCTGCTTTCAAGACTTATATAGTAGTTGATATCATGATCACTCAAAATTCAACTGTCAGAAACTCTGAGAAGGAGACAGTGGTGAGTTTGCTGAGACTATGTAGAACTGACAATAGAACCTGCAATCTGTTCTCAGTATACACAGAAATGTAACATATAATTACTGTATACAACAATATATTATAACATATAACAATATGTATATCATAAATCATTTTTCTACTGTTTCTGGCCATGTGAAGAGTGTGATCACTTCGTCGACTTTGTCGTCCATGGATCCAGACATCGTTGTACGCCCGGCCGCCCGGCCCCACCGTCACTGTTTGGCAAGGACTTATTGTCCCTGGGAATCCAACACCATCTTTAAAACTGGTCTCTATGCGACCTGAAGAGGATGTTTTCTTTTAAGTTGGTAGTACGAAAGATAACGAGTCGGACAAGATGTCTATATATAGCTGTTTGTTATTTTTCGGCCATCAGATCCCAACCCATCATCCAGTTGGTGGTGAGAGAAGCTGAACGCCAGACACTTGCAACATGTAACCGAGCAAGGATGGACACTTGCTCCGTGTCAACTGCTTACTCCCCCGCCCTGCAGACGGATGACCGACCTCGGCTCTTCGGCTCTTCTCTTTCCTCGCGGCCCAGATCCACCTCGGGGGCCCTTGGGCTGCACTGGGCCCCTTGGCCGCGGTGGAGGCACGTGAACCCTTGGCCAAAGCCTGTGGACTCAAGGCCGCCGAACGACGACAGGGCGGGTGGTGGGGACAGGGCGGTGGAGGTTTTTTTTCGGTCCCCGTGGTGGTTGGACGTGGATCCTCTTGATATATGTTGGACCCCCGGGTCAAAGCTCGCACCCCCTGGCCTGATCGGTTGTCGACGACCCCCAGTCCGGTCTTTACTCTTGGCGTGGCGTCTGTGAATTGCTGGCGTCTGAAGAAGAGGAGAGGAGTGGTGGGATAGAAGCAAAAGGAGCCCTCACCCATTTTTGAAGCCAATGTCAGCATGTGAGAATCGCACACTTCCGGCATCGCGACGTGGCGTCAAGAGGGGCATCTCCAAGACGATTTGATGTATTGGTCATTGAGGATGGTACCAAATCGATGCTTTGGGCTCCTCCCCGTACGGTTGACCTCGGTCACCCGAGGTCACCGGATCTGTCCGTTCGGCTCCTGTAGAACAAGGCCCTTTACTATCCATGGAAAAGCAACACAAACAAAACACGTAAGACGCCCTGGTAAGAGGGTAGACCCAAAGTAGTACCCAAACAATCTCGCATCCCCCCGAAACCCGCAAGTCTGGAGCGGTCTGAGAAAGTCTCCTCGCAGCGCCCGGTCACCATGCCAACCGGCCCCGCCGTCGTTTCTTTCGAGGCCTTTCGGTCGGACGTCCGGACCCGCGTGGGAATCGTTTGGAACACTTGGCTGCTGGCTTGCTCCTGTTCTTTCATGTTCTTTCTCTTGTACCGTGGTGGAACTGACCACTTCCAGGCTTCGGATTGATTTCTTAAATATAATTCAGCCCATTTCGCAGGTGCTAGATCCGGTTTTCCGATGTTTTGGTGTGGCCGTTGTGGTTGGAACGAAGCAGTGTATTTACACGTGCTACATCCATGGTACATCCGCTTCGATTCGTAACATGAGTCTATGAGTTAGTTCACGAGCACGAGCCCCTGGTCGTTGTGTCAGAGGATGCGCACTTCCCGGTGTCCGGGTGATTCGAGCCAACGGGCCACCTGGCCAGGTGCTCTTTGAGATGGGAAAGGAGGAACCCAGTCTCCTACAACGAACTGTGGTGGGCCGTCCCAGCTCCCTTCTGCACCAAGAAGATGGCGCTTGGGAAAAATCCGAATTCCAATCCACCACTCACCTGTCGAATGAAAACTCGAGTCTGCTGAGTCTAGGCACCTGCTGAGCCTTGGCCCCAAGGGGCCACTAAAACCGTGAGCCTTAAATGACTGGGCTGTCATGATACTTATGGTTACTCTGATTGCTGGAGCCACCTGCATGTTTTCTCTTGTGATCTATTCACTCGCTGATTCGAATTAGAATCTTCAAAGTGTGTGAACGATTCAGCAGATGGAGGCTGCAGTGATTCCTTTTTCTGATTGGGCGGTGGGTACAGGTAATCATGCTGGCCTCTCGATAACGTATCCTCCCTCCAATCATAGAGTGTAGTCCTTGGAAAACTCAGACTCTCTGGGCGTTCCCCCACTTTTTTTTGCATGTGCTCAATGCCGGTCCCAAACCACGGAAAGAACCTGCCCAAGGGCCCTTCCACCAACAGTCAAAGGGCCCTTCCATCAACGTGCTGCCAGTCGTCGTCGGGTGCCCGTTCCAACCCACTCTCCGACCTCGTCCGACCTCCGACGTCGACCGTCGCATGGGGGATGCGACCCGAGGCTCCCAACGGTGCCACGGGGCCGGAAAGCCTGGTGGCCATCATCAATGAATTCCTGGAGACCTCGGGTGAACACCTCGGGTGAATTCCGTCGACCTATTTGTGTTCTCTTCTCGGGAAGCAGCAGAGGGAAACGGAGACCAGCACGTGGACCCCCCTGGGGGCGCCAAAAACCGGCTTGAGGCCGGGCCCAAGCCGTGCATGACGTCTAAATGCTTCGACAGGTCGCTTGATGTGAGCCCTCAAGACACACGTCCGAGGCATATTGAAGCTGTTGCATCAACCAAAAGAACGGCTGAAACCCAAGCCCAACCCCTTTGCATCTCTTTGCTGTACCATGCTATACCCAACAACCCACTACACCTGACCTGTTGCCACCAGAAACATGATCGACCATGAGCTTTGCTGACCAGTTTTATTGGCAGAGTTTCCAGGAGCGAGACCACCAAAGGACTCGACACACCTGTTCCATCGTTTCTCCGTGCACCCCGCGGCCGCTCGATCTGCTACGTCTCCGTCTGTCGCCGAGAGATCCGAGAGATCCGTCGGTGACTCCAGGAGAAGGATCCTGAGGAGTGGCATCCAGGGCCGAGTGCCGCCGGCTGGGCCCAAGCGGATGGGTGATCCATCATGACCCACCGGATGACCCACCCTGATGACCCAGAATGAAGACTCCACTCGAGAGTGGGTCGAGAGCGGGGAGAATTGGGCGGTGTCGGCGTGAATGAGGTTGTGATTCCTCTTGGGGAGTCGGTGCTTTTCCATCGGTTTGTTCAAGCAAAGCGAGATCAAGCGGATCGTGCGTCCGCGCAAGCTCACCAGTCACCCAGGCTGAGGCAGGCGAACTTTAACTCCCGTGACCCAGGTAAACCTGGTGGTCCATCTTCCTGACTTCCGGTGGGTAGGCACGGATAGGCACGACCATGCATATGTCGCATGGGATTCCTATCATGCCGAAGGCATTTTGAGCCAACGATTCAATGCAAATGGGTATGTAAATTAATAAGGGAGATTTTCCAAAGACCACTGGAAGAGGGGACATGGACCAAGCCTCCATTGGTTGTGGATCTCTCTATAAAAATACGCACTCAAATGATTTCACATGGTACCCCCGTCCAACTAACCTCCGAGCCCTCCATCTGAAAGTATGATATCGCCCTCGGCCAGCGCCCTCCATGGATTGCAACTTTTTCGGTTCAGTTCAAAAGAAATGGACGTTCTTTCTGAATTCTATTGGATTCTGAGATGGGCACTGCTTCTATGGAAGAAAAGGTTGCGAATGGTTGCGATCCACCCTGAGCTGCTTCCCTCCTCCGCGCCATCACGGCAGGATTCCAACCTCCGCCGCCATGCGCAACTTCTGTTCGGGCTTTGCGAATGGGTGGCCGTGAGGAAATCGATTGATGCTTGAGACATCGTAGAACATCGTAGAACATCGTAGGACATGTGGGCTGCGCAGAAGCTGGAGGTCGATGGAAGCAGCCAAGTGAACTGCGTTGAAAAGGACACTTTTCAGTGCTTGGTAGAAGTGTTATACTTGAGGGTTGAACATTCTGTTTCAATTGGGATGGACACAGAGACAGCCCCAACCTATCTGGTTACTCGCCAAGCTTCCATATCCTGGCGTGCACTTCATTTGGAACCATATTATCCCACAAGGGCACACTATTTGGCTGGAACTCCATGCGATCACTACAGACTGCGTTCCACTCCAGTTTTCCTTTGAGTCAGCACTACTGAAATCTATAGATTTGGAATGATGGTGGACACAGAACCGCCATCAGAGGGCCTGGTGGTGGTGATGACACCGAGTGCAACGCAACTTCGTTCCCTTCGAGCTTCCTAAAGAGCTCCTTTTGGGTTGACAAGACCTCCCCCGGAATGGTTTCATGGGGGTAGGCCCCCGGGTAGGACAAAGAGACTTCATCGGGCAGCTCTTCTCGTGATTTGTTTCTGCACTGCATTGAGAAGATGCGAAGGGAGGCACACATTTCGGGACGTTGCCCAGTGCGCAAAGGCGAATGATGGTACCCTGCCCAGCAAAGAGGAATCTCACATACTGGCTATTGGAGTTACAGTTTGTTTCTTTCACGGCCAGCAATGCAGCTCACTTATCACCTGAAGGTAGGGCTTTTGGATGCCCCCAAGGTGACCAAAGTGACCTAGTAACTAAATCAAAGTTTGAAACAACTCAGATGAGTCTGACTCAGAGGATGGGCGATCATCGGCACTTGATGCTGTGTGCAGTCAAGCCTTTCAAGCCAGACGACGCCCCCTATTCGAACCAACAGCGACGACCGTCGGGTGGCGTTCAACCGACCGCTTGGCAGAACGGTCTTCGACTGGTCGCCGTCGGCCAGTCGACGAAGACGATCGCTGGTGTTCCAGGCCGCTGGTGGCCGAACATGGCAAATCTTTTTCGTGTGCCGACCAACCAATTGATCAATTGGCCCTTTGACTTCGCCAACGGGTCCGTGGAACTCCTGAGCTGTTTGGCAGGTAGAGGAACTCCTGAGCTGTCACAGCTGGTTTACAGCTGCGCTTGGCGCTTGGGACCCCCCGTGAGGGGCAAAAGAATTGATCTCGGTTTTGGCGCGAACTCGGTTTGGTTGGCCATTAAGAGGCTTGAGATATCCTCTTTCACCTATAGTGAACGTCCTTTGATTTGGATTACATGGTTTGTACACCGAACGGCCGTGTAGACATACCACGTGGACCGCGTCACGTCTGGCATTTTGACATGTGATGAAGCTCCAGTGGTGGCGTGTAGAAGCTGTGAGCCGGGTCCAGGACCCAGGACCCGGGGCGACCCTGGGGGGTAAGGAGCGCTCCTTACGCGTGGGTTGTGCAGGGGTTTCACCGCTGTACGATGGTCTTTTTCAGAGCCATTCTGGGTTCCAAAGACTTTTCATGCCCAATTCCGACGGGGTTCCATGCCGAAATCAATCGAAATCAGCTTCTCAGCGAAAAGAGTGGCACTTCAGTCTTTCTTCCCCCTCAGCAGCTACTTTGGGGATGGCAGACAGAGCCCTTTGGAGAGGAGAGTTGTTCAGGCTGAGACCCAGGCTTTAACTCGGGCACATCGGCATGGTGCGGCATGGCAGCCGTCGAGTGGAGATGGTTCGAAGGAATCCAACCACGATCCAACATGTTCATCTCGTATGGCCCAACCTGGATCGAGTGGACTCAAGGCCTGGATCGAGTGGGGGGTTCCTGGAGCCACAAAGGACACAACGAACACAAGAAGGTCTCGCTGACTGCGCCGGCGCCCCTTCTTTTTTGGCTCGCAAAGAATTCACTCTGCAGGAGGGTTTCATCATTCAGAGAGATAGAGAGAGGGGCAGACATTTTCCAGGCGTTTCTTCAAGTAAGAGGATTCGAGGAGAATTGATTGATTGATGGGGAGACTCAGAAGCCAGCAGTTCTATGGGCAGCAGCGTGAAGATGTGACATCAAATGACATCAACACCATCCCCATCTTGCTGTGGGTCATGGCACCAGGATACCTTGGCTGACCCACCCGGAAGGACAAGCTACATGGACCACACCAAGCTTTGACCCAGATCAGACGAGTTCCTTGACACCTACGTACTTGTGGGAAAGACTCAGCACCAGCGCCCTTTTGACCATCACATCAGAGCATAATCCGTCTTGCTGTTGGCCCAAAGCGTTTTATCATGGAGGACCAATGGCAGACTGTGCCCACTCTGCAGGTTGGGTCGTCTTGGACATGATTCCTGCTGTTTTCGTCGCGCAATGCGAGGGAAGGGTATAAGAACATATAATCATACATATATATATGTCAGGTTCAACACAGGGTGATTCAAGGTCATACTGGTCAAAGATGTGCTCTCCAGCGCACCGGTCACCTTCCAACCAGCTTTGTGCTACGTCAAACTACATCAGATTACCACATTCTGTGTCCACAAGCTGCACAGGGAGGGGCCGTGTTCGTGCCTGTTCGCGCATGGCCCCTTGCTTAGTTTCTGGTTGGATTGGATGAACACGGATGGCATGGCCCCTCGGCACCCTGGAAATGGTCCCTTGGCACCTGCTTGCCTTCCCAAGCCAAAACACCTCGTAACACATCGGGATGTTTGGGGCTTCCCCGCAAAATACCGTGGGTAAACACGGTGGTTTCTGGCAACACCCTTCCAACACATCGGTATTGACCATAGCTTTTTTGGGCTGCAAAACATATCGTGTACATACTGTGGTTTGTGCCTGCCCAGGTACAAAAACTGTTGGGCTCCTAATGAAAAACCATATGTAAACACACTGTTGTGTTTTTTTGGCTTGCAGAGGTTTAAAGACTTTTCCTATTCGCAGTCAGTTTATGTTTTTGTGTTCTATTCAGCCACAAAAAAACACTTCGAACATACAGGTGCGTTTGCCTTATCCATGTTCAAAGACATTGATATTTATATACAGTGACTCGATCAGTTTCTTGGGAATGGCCCTGTCTCATATATGCCTAGGTCCGTCCGCGCGCGTGGGTGCCCCCGAGGACCCAAGTCACCACACTACGGCCCGAATGCAAAGGAACCAGGGGGGAAGAAACGCCCAGGCCAAATCCTAGTAGCTTCTTGTTCCTAGTACTAATGGCCTCCACCCTAACAGCGATGGCCTCCACCTAGTAACTTCTAGCTACTAGCAGCTTCTTGTTCCTAGTTCCTCTCTGAGCTTGGACGACCTGAGGCGTTTCTTCTCGGGTGAATTCGCCTCGGTCACCGTCGGTCACCGATGACCTCTCCAGGTCTCGCTCGCGGGAGAGCCTGGTTCGCTTCAGGCTCAGTGGGTCGATGCGGTTGGCTGGGAGGACTGAGGATCGGGGGCGTTCGCCTCGCCTGTTTTGGTGAGTGGGGATTGATTTGGTTTCTTCTTTTGGTGAGTGGAATCAGCGGATCTTCTCTTTCCGAAGATCCGAGGCGGTGAGCGAATGCTCACCAAACTGTGTTTGGAACATGCGATGCGAAGACGCTTTGAGGATCTTTGAGGTATATTCAATTTGGCGAGAACATGCGAAGACGTTTTCAGATGGAAACAATCTCTGTATCCCGCTGGTTGCGCCAGGTGGTCGTTCTCGAGTTGGACCAGACTGCTGCGAGCGGAGGTCGGTTGAAGTGGACAGGGGGGAAGGTTAGTGGTTGTTAGTTGCTGGGGAAAGCAACAGTCTGATTTTGATGCCGGTTCTCGTGTTTCAATGGCAGTTGGCCCAGACTGACTCCAGTGCTATCTGATTCTATTTGGGAACTCGAAGTGGAATCAGCTAATCAAGCATTTCATCACGGCCGAACCTCTTACACCTCAAGTTGATTGTGAAAAGAACGAGTGCGGATTCAGCTGGCCGAAGTGCTTACCCTCACACCTTTTTTACGTATCAAATTGAAAGGGAAGACTTCCCTTCCAAGATTGAGTGTGTTTAGAGCAGGAACACCCTCCAATCAGTGGGGTTTCATCTATGGAACAGTTTTTCCCGATCTGGCTGGTCTCCCTAAAACAAACCCATTTGGAACACCAGCTCCAAAATGGGTTGATAGACATGGAACAGCGAAAAGCGTCCGCTTCGACCCGTTCCACCTGAAAGAACCGCAAGCAAGGGGCAAGCGCCAGCAGGAAGCGCGTTGACCAGATCCTCGGCGGAACCATCCCAAACCTCCAAAAGAAGGACCATGAAGGACCCAAACCTCCTGACGTTTCTGGCCACGCGAAGAACTTCTGCGGGCCCTTTTGGCATGGCTTCCATCCTTTCCACGTGCGCCTACCCCGTGTTTCCCACGGGTCGGAACCCACCGACGCCAGGCGCTTCACCCGTCTGCTCCTCCAACGACTCCGAACACGCCGGTGCCCGGCGGCCCAGGGCTCGTTGATCGGTGCCATCAGCGACGACACCCATTGGTTGGGCGTGTTCCAATTAAGCTGTAACATGCTGTAACAGTCAAAAAGTAATATATATATATATATATGTGATGTTTATTCTTTTTAGAAAGGCCTGCAACCAGACAATTATCCACTGTGGAATGGGAATGGGATATCTCCAACCCATTTGGATATCTGATTCCCAAGTCCCAACGGGTTTGGTCGTTCACCTGGCCAACCAAAATCACCTCCCTTCCAAGTTTTCTGTCAGATGATGGCTGTCATTTGGCCTGGACCCGATAGGTGCTGAAGGGTGTGACAGTTATGGTTATCTTTTTGTCGCAAAGGTGTTTTTTTCACACTGCCAGATGCCAGGAAGGATCAAAAAGGGTGGTTAACAATGGTTAACACACTAGTTTTTTTTCCTATTGTTTTGTTCTTGGTTCAGGGTGCTTCAGATGTCTCATTTCAACGTTACCTTTTGGGATCGCTTGGTAGATTCAACTGACCTTTAGTCCACCACTCTTCAAACCGGCCAATTGATCAGCCAAACATCGGAGCCTCAAACAGGACTTGTCAGCCACCCTTTAAGGACTCATAAGGACAGCAAACAGGACTCTTTCCAATGACTCTAACCAG